CATAGTTGAAGACTTGGCTTTGGTAAGTAAAGAATAAGGTGACGAACGTGAAAGAAAGGTAGAACTTAGGAACAGCTGATGCTATACTGGTAGAAGTTAATTAACTGTCCTTAATGACAAGCGAACATAAATGACAAGCGAACTATGCGTTGGACGAAGATGAAGATTGAATAAAATTTAATTCAATAAACTGGAGATGTCATGTCGGTACATGAATCCTTCTATCCTGTCGGAAACTACTACCTACTTGCACTACGAAACTTGAATACAACATCGGAATACAACATCTGAATACAACATCTGCATACAACATCTGAATACAACATCTGAATACGACATCTGAATACGACATCTGAATACAACATCTCAATACAACATCTGAATACAACATCTGAATACAACATCTGAATACAACATCTGAATACAACATCTGAATACAACATCTACATACGAGTAGAGTGTAGAACTTAGTATTTATTTATGACTAAGCCGCGAAAACAGGTTGAGTTTCCATAACGCACAGTTTTGTAATTTATAAAGCAGCACTTCGTATGGTGATAGTCTCAACCTCCTGGTTCCTAATAAGGTTTATTCCCATATGACACTTTCGAACCAAAAACAGTTTCAAATATTCTGTTGACATTAAGATTGTTCGTCGGTTAATCTATGAATGGACACATTGGACATGTTGGCCCTAAATCGTTTACGCGTTGTAGTTTTGATCAACAATTTTTCTGTTGTAGTTTAAATCTGCCTTCAGTGGGCACACATCGTAATCTCATGATCGCGGTATATTTAGACGATTATTACTGAGCGCTGATCACATCGTCACAGAATCAGACTTGGAGCCGCCTTCAAAACAGCAGTACATCATTCAGCTGTCACACAATCAATTTAATCGGATTTTATCAGCAAATATGAATGCAATCTACGCAGTCTCTCTTTTAAGAAATGTTGTATTGTATTAATTAAAGTGATACTTGGCGCGGCGGTCTCTTGCCTGCCGTCACGGAGTCGCTGCTCCACCACTCGATGTCGGGGGCGAAATTTTTAGAATGGTTTCTGAAATTAATCAAGCTTTATAAAGCTTATATAATTATATCATAAATTATTCAAGCGTTATATTTATCATTTTAAATGTCTACCGACATTTACAATGAGCAATGCATTTTTCGTAATACTTCTTACTTGCTCATGTAAACTGGAAGCCTTAAGTTTTCATCATGAGACAAATCCGTTCTCCGGAGACCTAAAAATTTATAGGAATGCAGCGATTGAAATCAATTGAGAGTCCCCTGCTTCCGTTAAATTAAATTTGAACGAATAATCAACTGATTGTTCATTATATAGTGAAGAACTCAATTCAGCGCTCGGAAGCTTCATGGAAAAAAATTCCCACTTTTTCAGATATTAGAAAATCGGTGCCGCAACGAAGGCTGTATTAGCAGGATAAGCACATATCTCTCCGAATATTTTATTCCATGTACGTCACCTGATTTTTAACGCATTTTCTCATTAATGAAAAAATGCACTATTGTGCTCGCCATGTCCGTCTGTCCGTCCGTCTGTCCGTCCGTCTGTCCGTCTGTCCGTGACTTCATGTTTTCGTCGACGAGAAAATGCGCTCTCTGTCACTCGCTGCAGTGAGTATATACTGAGTTTTATTTTTTAATTTAACGGATGTACATAAACTTACACGAAACGACTTTAGGAAGACTGACCAAAAAATCAAGCAGATTTTAGCCGAAGACAGTAGAAGTTGAACGGGTAGCTGGATCAGATATAATGAATGAAATCATTACAGCAAGAGAAGCTAAAATATCTGCCGACAGAGATATGTCCTATGCTTAAGTCCTATGAGGAAGAACGAGGGAGCTGCAGACGCCAGAAGAATTTACTAAAATGAGAGGAAGTCGATGGAAGAGGCAACTCGGTAGCGCATCATTTTTCGGCGGCCAATATAGAGGCGCTGATAACTGATCGGCCTTCACGGTAGGCCCGATTGACCGTTTATCTGCTCAGTTCTGAGCACCAAAAACAATATTGACGGAGCGACCAGGAACAACAGCGCCGCGTACGGCGGAGGCCGCGATGAGCACTCCAACTAGTGAGTTTCTTCCTAGGAACAGAAGCTCGATCTTCGCTCAAATTTCCGACGCTGAAGCTAACAACTGCAAACGTGGGTCCTAACGTGTACCTTGTCGGCTCTTATGCAAATCAGGATTAAAATATATGGCTTCCTATGCATATAGGGAAAAGACGATCGAGCGTCACATGCTACAGACAAAGATCGGTGGGATGTTTCAAGAGTTTCAGCGCTCATCGGACGTAATATTTACAATATTTTATAGCTTGACTTCTTTGTTATAATTCTGACATTGTTATTATTTTAATTTCATTTGACGAAAGATGAGGTATAAATGACTGGTTCTAAGTGCTGTCCTCGTAAATTCATTACTTATGAAATAATAAATTTCTCATCGTTATCCGTGAGCTACTAAAAGCTTAAAGAGCAGAATTTGGGGCTGGGCGAACTTTACGAGGCATGCGAGGCTGCGTTCATTACTTCCTCTCCATGACTATAAATTACTTCCATCGTCAGGAGAAGAAGCTCTCTTGACGATAATATGTTCATTATACCATCTACCGTTACCATGTAATGGTGGCGGCAGTAGCTACATAATACCATCTGGCCGTTACCATGTAATGGAGACGGTAGTAGCTACATAATACCATCTGCCCGTTACCATGTAATGGGGGCGGCAGTAGCTACATAATACCATCTGCCCGTTACCATGTAATGGTGGCGGCAGTAGCTACATAATACCATCTGCCCGTTACCATGTAATGGAGGCGGCAGTAGCTACATAATACCATCTGCCCGTTNTCACAGACGCTCATGACCATGCCTGAATACGACTAATAAAAGAATAAATATCCCTTAGTGTCATCAAAAATTATTTCTATTGAAGTCTCCTCTATTGAGAATCTACATCAAAAATGATCAACATTAATAATAATAATGTACATTAATGCATGATGCCGGACAGTTTACTCGTATTCAGAACATACCAGGCTCATAAGGTGGCATCTAAGGACGGTTTAACAAAACATGGAGAAAGAATCCTTCTCCTGTCCATATAATATTGAACGTACCAAGGCCGTTCACAGGTGCGTATTGCGTATAAATAGCGCCGTTTTTAATTTGATTAAGATTGGTTTCGAATAGTAAAATTTATGCGTGGTAAATGTGTTATAAATTAACGGTCATCAGGTTAAATAATATTGAAGCAGAAAAAAATCGGACAATGCTCGCACGAGCGCATTGTGAAGGGATAGCTTCCTTTTTAATTTGGTCAAGTTCGGTATTTACTACTTGAAAAATTCATGCCGTGAAATTTGCTATGATAATTCGTCCCAACAATTCCTTCAAAAAATCCGCCTCATAAGTGTTGGAACGGTCCGATATCATCACTGCACAGCCATCACGCCATTTTAAAGCATTACTTCACTGCCTAAATTGAGCGACCTCTTCCATAGAGGAGGCAAAACATGGCTCGCATCGTCTATCAGGTGATAATGAGATTTTTTCTCAAAACGGCACGTCCATTGAGGCTGTACGTAATGAACAGGAACATTTTCAGTGATCATATTGCAGACCAAAATTGGCCAGCGAGTTATCTCGTCCACACACGATCAATATTATTACGGCGATACTCGATGGGCTCCACAAAACGTCTATCGATGTCTAAACTCTTGACGTAAGAAAACGATTTCAAACAGTTCGATACAATTTTCTACGATTTTTATATTTTGAAATTGAATATCATTGTACAATAGATCGGTTGAATGCATTCTTCAATTGTTTAGTTGGGAAACAACAGTGACAAACTCTCATCTCAATTCGTCCTTCACGTTACATATGAGCATATGAGAAGTGACCGAGAATATCATATATCGATTTTCGAGTATATCGAGAGTTCGCAGTTTTGTTAATAAAATTGAATTGTACAGAAGGTAATTGAAATTTGGTTACAATTTTATTAAATCTTAACTCTGATCCTGAAAGGAATTAATAAGAACACAAAATTTGTAATACCATTAATTCGAAACCGAATGTTCTTAAAAAGAACCTCATTGCTGATTGACATTATTATGCTTGATTCACACTATACTGCAGGGCCCGTGCCAATCACGTTCCGGTACAATATTCTTTAATTAATTCATTTCTATAGAATCATTCACACCCGTTGTGCATGGCACCTGCCCTGCCCATGGTGTGAGTGCTTCTATGAAAATGCAATAAAGAATATTGGACTGAACTGTGGCTGGTATATGCCTTGCACGTGCCCGGCAGTACGATGTGAATCCAGCCTAAAAATTCAGCGATTGAGATAGCAATCTTGTAGTCATATCAGAAGAGATGAATCTGAAGAGACAAACCTAAAGAGATGAAGCAGCTCGAAGCTGTACATAGACAATAGAGTAAAATGAAGCTTAGTAGCCTATTTCAGAGGCACCGTTAGAGACTATGCTAATTCTGGTGTACTAGGAATGAATGAAAGCGGGGGTATTTTGTTAGCAACTAGTACTGTCATGAACTGGCAGAATATTTAGAAATATATTGTTCACGTGACATTGCCACTTCAACTGCATCCGAACGATTTTCGTTAGGACTTTGTCGTAGATAGAATTTGGTATAGTCTGCCATAGAATTATTTCTTTGAATAATACGGGGGCGCACTAATGTATTTAGCAGGGAATTTCTGTGTGTAGGTTCCTGTAGTAGTTGTCTTTAGACATGAACTGCAATAAAATATAATATGATATAGTATTAAAAATGTTTTAACTTATGATTTATGAGCAGATAAAATAAAATTATGTTTATATGATACAAATGTATTCAGACAACTGTTTCGATGATCTACACACCAGCACCACCAGCCAAAAGTCAAAACACTCAACACTGTTTACAGTCAGTAACAATGTGTGCGCTGTGATGTGAGGATGTGTACGCTTCCGTGAATTTGTGTTATGCTCGCGCGTAATCGATACACACTATGGGATCACCAAGCCACAGGGAGTATCAGAGACTCTTCGATTATTTTGCAATAGTTGGACTAGATCCCGAAGGAGGCTTGGAACGCAACCATATTCAAGGTGAGATTAAGTAGCAAACGTTAGTTGTAGGAAATTCTTTCTATTGGTGAGGGATCCTAGGACTAGGACCTGGTTGCTCAGCTTCAAAGACGCACGTTCATCTACGGCCGTTACAGTTTTACTGTACGTTAATGGTAGATGTTGGACAACTAATGGTTTACCTTGCGCATATTCAGCGCTGCTTCTGGAAGCTCATTCGTGCAATGATTGATTTTTGCCGTCCTGCCGCGTTGTGAGTGGAAAGCGAGGTGACTAAGAACATGCCCTCCCACCACTGTTGGGACGGTTGTGTTGTGCCCGTACATGCAGGCGTAAAAATGATGCACATGCTTGTACCGTCGTACGTTGTAAGAATGATTCACAAACATGTTTGTTTGTTGTGAAAATAATGTATAACGTTTTTGCAATTAGTAAAAATGGTGCAGAACATTCCTGTTTTTTTTTTTATAATGATGTATAACGTGCTTGTATAAAGTATGTTGTACTTGTATGAAGGTTGCACGAAGTGTTTGTACGAAATTGTACCTATGTTTTTATGCGATAAGAAAGTTGCAAAACAGGTTTATATATTTTAAAAATTATACACAACATGTTTTTATGTTGTTTACTGTACTAGTCATGCCATGTGATGTGGCGGCGGACTGCATTCCGCCTCCTTGTGTATCAGAACCGATCGCAGTGCTCATATTTACATCACCAGCTGAGCAGAGCACTGCTAGTATCAGCTGAGTATCGTCAGCTGATATTTGTTAAAGTGAAAGATTCGAGGTTAGAGGGTGTAAATACAAGTCGTTCTCTTAATACTTGTGTGCAAAAAAAAATATTCCATAATATTTTACTTTAGCTGAGAACCTAATTTGATATTCTGGAATGTAATCACGTACAAACCGCTGCTTTCCTTTTCAAAGTCATTCTTCTTATTTCATCGGGCTGCTTCCGTGTTTATTATCTTCTATTGCAGATTCAGTTCAGTGTATAAGAAGAACATGTAACCGATCCAATTTTACTGAATTGCTGAAAATGAAGCACTAAAATTATAGCTCATGCACTGACTTAAAATTTACGTATTATATGCCATTGATGAGATTGAATCATAAGAAAATAAAGGAAAATTAGTGTTAGGTATACTATTTGTTCAATTGATGGAGTTAAATCGAAGTATTCGTTCATCTATTCCACGTTATTTAAATGCGATAATGTTCTTTCCGAGGTACCGTATGCGGTAGTCAAAAATCATTCTGTATTCTTCTGTAACTAATTGTAAGTTTGAAGTTCACATGTGTGAACTATAAAACGTTCATATGTGTACACAGTTCATTTAATCGGACCTAGAAATCAAATATTTATTTTTTCTGCTTATCATCGTGTTGTATGGAACCAAGTTTTTAAAACGCGGTTACGTTTTCAGCTTGAAAGAAAGGACTGCATGTAGACGCACTCGTAGTTAGTTAGTTTCAGTTCTGTTGCCTTTCAGTCACCAATTTTACTATGCAACGACGTCATTAACTATTACACTCCTAAATCTCGCTTGACATCTTCATCTCTGGATGAAGTTAAGAAGAAACGGCTGTCATTGGCTTATCTTGGAGAGATCAAATGGGCTGATTGTCGCGATTATATTGTTGCAGATAAACATATGTCGGACGACAATAGTTGACTTATTATGCTAATTTTGCATGTCTAATGCATTTATTTTGTAATTAAGTGACAATGAATTATTCTTTGCTTTCCCGCTCGATCTAACTGTGCACAAAATGGCATAGCCACTTAGTCGGATATTTTTTTTACGTGCAACATTGTCCTGTTTTGAGTGACATTTGGCCACGTTTTGTAGCTTCCGCAACGAGTAATCTAATAATTAGTTGAATGGATAATGTGTTGTAATAAAGCGATAAGTATAGCTCGATTGATTGCTTGCACTGGATTTACGCTCGATGTGTCATCTCGTGTCAAAGCACCAAAACTTCTCCCTCCTTCCGAGTTTTCCACTTCGTGAGAGGCGATAAGGTTGCGTCTGTAGTTATCGAAGTTCTGGCGCATCTATATTCGAAGGGCTGGATGTTTGTTAGCCCTGTTGAACGGATTTTCTTTTATTTCAGTTTTCCATAATTTCCTGGTAAATATATCGCAAAATTGTTTAAAGACATGCAAATTAAGATTAGGCTTCAAATGCTTTGTGTTATTTTTATTCGTTTTTCTCCTATTATATTTTTTTGATTCTTTAAGTTAGGCTCCTTAATTGGTTAGGAGTTTTTTTCGGTTATAGCTAGGTACTAATTTCCCTAACCTTCAGCGTATACATATGTGGCATCTCAAGAGGATTTCAAAATTAGTTCTATAACGGATGAAGATTCGTTATCTTTTCCCCGTTTCCATTTGTGATGAATAATTTGTGATGCTCGATTCACAATTCGATTCATCTCTTCATTGTATATTATCTATCGTCTACTGATCGGGATTTCGAATCGGGAATACAATATTAAAGATCCTTTTCTTCTCCTTTAAAAATAACGCAACTGTGATTCATTGAAAGGACAAGAAACTATATGTTGTACCAAAACTTGGGTTTGCGACACATCCTCTATCCGTGAGATTCTTCTCTTTGATTTGGCGTTCGCAGGTAAAAACTCTTACGTGCGTTCACGCTGACACAATGAACGCGTGCTCTCTGCTCGTTATCATGATACAGTTCAGTCCATGACTTCTTAGTACTGACAGAGCACGTCTGGTGACGTAGTGTCCTGCAGCATAAAGAACCTGTTGTATCCTGCAGGCAGGCGTCACTGTTCATTCGTTGACTAGAGGAGTTGCCTTCCTTCCTTCCTAGCCGTTAGGTGAAGCGACTGCAGCGTGACTAGCTTGTGTCGGCAGTACCGACCACTGACGAGTCAAACCTGCCGGAGGTTTGATGTTTGCTTGTGTAGCTGCACGCTTCAGTTCGCTGTCTGCCTCGCCCTAGTGACGAATATCAACATGCGTCGTAATTAGCGCGTAATTTAAATGCCTAGAACCTTATAATATAATAAAAGATTGTGTAACTTTACGTATAAGCTTAGTACCCTGCTGTGTCTTTTAAAGTACCCTGCTATTTTTTTCGGTCGGCTTACGAGCAGGCATGTCCTGATGTAATATCACTAAAATTATTGTTAACTGTTGACATGTTTTGTCCAATCGGGTGAAATAAGTAAACTCCTATGGGCACTGCCAAGGATTTAACTTGAGTGAGTAAATTATCATGCTATGTATTTCTTAGTGAATTGATCACAAACGTGTCGATGACCTTTTTGACCTTCGGTTGAAGAGACTCTATTGCATGATTCATTAAGCAAATGCCTGCGCTGTTTGCAGGTAAACGTTACTTCTATCCCCAAAGTCGTCTCTGTAAAGAGCACGATTTGCCACTCAATGCCATCGATTCTCTTAAATTATATAGGAACCACCCGAGTTGGCCTTGTGTGTATATTGCCTTGCAGCGGAAGGCCGAGTTCTCGTAAAGGAAAGTGGCGCTAATGAAGCTCAACGCTCACCGCTATTTACATTGGGACTGCGTTGAGGCGACGCTCCTCTCACTCTCTGCTCAGTCGCTTTGCTTCCGGGTTTTCTTGCCTCCCGAGCCTCTCGCTGGCGCTTCTCGGTTACTGAGCTTGGAGGCGAGGGTGCTCAGCTGCTCCAAGTAACTGACGCACGATCACATTTTCAGTTTATTTATTTATTGAACCATAAAATATTTGCAATGCTTTTATTATTATCATTATTGCCAGACGATTTAGTGTTTCGGTAAATTATTATTATAATTATTTTATTATCATTATTTTTACTTGATATAATAAGTTTTAAGTCATTCAAGTGTTGATTTGGCATAATCATCGGTACATGTAATTCTGCGGATTTTGATGCGTCTCGTGAAAATCTTATGATAATTTCATTGTATCAAGATACCAAGTTATTTGGAAGCACATGTGGAGTGAGTCGAAGAGAGCGGTTTTTGAACGAAGAATATAAAATTGCCAAAGTCTCGAGTCTCAATTGTATAACGTTAATTCTAATTTGGAAAACAAAATCACGAATTTAAGCCTGGGCCCAAAAGTTTTGCCTTCATACCCATCAGTAATGTAATCGGGTATCAACCACGGTGAATGATAATTTATCAATCATATTTAGTAAGAACGCCCCCAAATTTTGTGTTTATCACTAAACTAGTATATTTTTTCGTATGGCATGCTGAAATTTGTTCTTTAAATTTTATTCAATAGGTTAGCTCGGCTCTTCCCAGTACAGATTATCTATCTATTTGAAGAACAACATACGCCAAGCCATCGCCAACAAACCCGTCAATATGCTTCAGCTAGTTGAACGGAACTTCAAAAATCGACTAACTTAATGCCTTGACAATGGGGGCCGTTATTTGTCCGATGTTATTTTTAAAACTAAGTGATAAAAAATTGAGGTAATTTATTTTTCAATAAAATTCATATTGGTAGTAATGATATCTTTGCTAGCTCTTTTTTATTGAGCTTTCAAAACAGGAAGTTTCCGTGATCACCCTGTACGAATCGTACGTACAGTACTTGTTTCCAGGATAATTTAGCACGCCTGTTCTCTTTGCCGGGTGTAATTTACGTCTTTCGCAGCTCCAAATTGTTTTGGAACTATTCTATTTACGCGTTGTTATTGTAACTTGTCCTTCAAAAATATCATAAAGTTTTACGTGCGATGGAGGTAACTAGAAATTTTTCATATTATAAAATAATAAACCTTTTGGTTAACAACTAACTTTCTGAAGCCTTTTCACGATTCACGATAGGTAATTTATGACTTCTTCGATTACATCATACAAGGGCCCAAATTCATATTTGATTTGATTTTTTCTAACAATTCCGACGCTACTCTCATCTTTTCGTTGCTACTGTCATCAATTTTGAAGAGAATACTTAGTAATTTCACTCTAATTCATTTCTTATGTAAGTCTTGATTGAATTTAAAGATACAAAGCATTTAAATTGCTCCCTCACTCTTTTTTTAACACTACTCTTATCTTTGCATTGAGTTTTCTTGCCATTCAAATATTTTTCGCTGTATTTTGTTGTTTCCATTTTGCGACGCATGTGGACGCCCTTTCTTTTTGTTTTGAAATTGTTTCCATTTTGCGACGCATGTGGACGCCCTTTCTTTTTGTTTTGAGGAGTATTTATTACTCTAAATTGTTTTATATTTTTAATAGTTTGCGGTTCCAATGATGCCTCAACTTCAATGTTGTAACTAGAATGAGTAAGCCTCCACTGATTCTCAGCTGTGTACTTCTTATTCTGTTAAATAGAACGTTAATTTTTTCAAATATAATGTTAAATTTTGTTGAATATAAACTTTTTTAATTGGTGTTTTTTAAAATACCAATTAAATAGAATAGAAAGATAGAATAGAAAGATAGAATAGAAAGATAGAATAGAATTTTGTTAAATAGAAACTTTTAATTGGGGTTGGTTATAACATTATTTCTGTCCTTCCATTTAGTCAGCCTGTATTTAATCCTCTGGTTTTTGTATTGCCTTTCCTACTTTCGTGCTTGAAGTTCTTCCTGCACTCTGGCTCCTTTTATTCGAAGATATCACCCCACTTTAGACGCCGCCACCACCGCCTTCAATTGGAGCACTTCGCCCTGTCTAATTGCGCTGGTCAGACGATCCTGAAGGTCTGGCACTATAAACCAGCTGGGCTGTTACACAACTCCCCCAGACGCTCCGTTCTGATTTGACTTTTACCAGCCATTGATCCTTCTCTTGTATTTGTTTGCTTTGCTTGAGAATGAACTGACATTCTTACAAACATGTGAAAGCTTGATGATAGGCTGACAGTGACGCTAAGAGGCGTTGGCGGGAATGTTGCGTTAGCTTAAAGTTATTCCTGCGAATATCTTCCTGTGTCTTTCTTGTCAATAACCTAAGCGTGTTTATATTGTGTCATCTCTGCAGCCGAAATATGTATGGACCTATTAAGCGTTATATGTCCATTCGGGGATATTCTTGTTGCAACAGTCCTTGGAATGCCATACATTTTGTTGTAGCTGTTTATATTGTCTTATATATATTTATATATTTTGTGAAAATATAGTTTGCTTACGGTCATGGCACCCGATTTAGTGTTTCGGTAACAACCAAAATTATTCCTAAGATTCCCCCAAAAATTCCATTAAGAGCAGTTCGAGTCAGACTAGTCACAATTACCATACAAGATGTCTAAAAGTTTGTCCAAACGTTGCACATTAAGCGTATAAGTGTAAATGTTGACGGTATTTTCTTGACAAATATTGATGAATCTGAAAAATTTAGGCATTTGAGAAGTGGTTTAGGATTGAAACTACTTTAATAGTTTCTTAAAATGCTAAGAAGTTTCGTAAAATTTTGTGCTTCCTAAAGTAGCTAAAAAGAGTTTCATATCCTTATTAATTTTCGATAATTTTGCGAACATTTTGCTGATAACTAACTTTTATTGATAACATCATACATTTACATCAAAAGAGATTCATTAAAATTACAGGTATTTGCCATGCAGGTCGTCGTCAACTGGTGAAAGGTAAACAGTATAATTCTAATGCTACTGCTTATATGCTGCCGTGCCATTCATGGCTCGAACTGCACGATGCCTATATACATATATACACCACGTTGAGTTGCCGCAGTGTCGTCTTCTCTGGGCTGGTCCCCCGGATCAGCTAACCGGTGCGTTCTTCTTGGTTCTCAGTCGTGCATGGGAGCTTTTCATCATCGACGTATCTTGGTTATTCGTTTCTGTTCTTTATATTTGCCCTTAGCGTTGTTTTCATTGCTGGAAATTTACAACCATTATTGCGGTAGTCTTTATTCGTGCAACACGGCGTCGCATTGCCGCGGTGTCGTCTTCCCAAGGGATTGGTCCCCCGGATCAGCTTACTGGCGCACTCTTCNACCATCTGTGGCTCCTGTGGACTACTTTCTTAATCATTCATTTTTTTTTAACAACGATCAAGTTCGTTGTGAGCGCCTCCCAGTGAGAGTTTATTCTACCGCCTGACGCTGCATCTGCCGCTTCTCTTTAGTTGCTCGTGAAATACTGCCAGCTGCTTCCGGGTGAAAGTCTTACGCGTTGTGTGAACTATTGAAACTCGCCTTTGATTGCCTATTGCGGCGAGCGATCTCACTTACGTTGTTGAATATAATGACATTTGCTTCTTCACAATCGGACTCACGCAGATCGTTTGTAAAACTGAGAGAAGAAGTTTTGCATCGAACTACAATTGCTTATGAATCAGCATTAAGTTTGATGAGTTCGGTGCTTCCATGTTTGTTTTAGTTCTTTTTAATCTCCAAGTCTATTTGTTTTCATTAGCTCGCCCGTAATGAACGTTCTTCAAACAGTCACTCACACAAGCTTCATAACATACCTACTCAGCGACATCTGCTCGGGATAATTGAAAGCATGTCAAGTGGATACTTTTACCTCATTTAATGTGTTTTATTCTTTGTTCGTCCGGCTTATTACTAGTTCTCGGATTTTTTATATTCCCTCGTCTGGAGAATATGAAACATTGCTCGCCTGATTCGATCAGGGAGCGACTGAAGCTGTTCTTATCCTTACTCGTGACTGCTTATCTACTCTTCACCATTACAGAGAATATGTTGCCTTCCGCGTATCCGTATTTAATGCGGGAAAACCTTCTTTTAACCTCGTTTCCTCGTCTTACAAACGAGGAAAACCTCGTCCTCGTCGTTTGTAAAATAGTAAAATAATGACTGGTACTCTTGAAATATGTTCAGGATAGTATGAAACACCTATCCGAGCTCAATAATAGATCATGATCGAAATTATTTCTATATTTTTAGATAGGAACTCTTTTTGTTGACTTTTCAACCGAAGATGTTCGTGTGAAAATATAAATTTAATGGATATTTGGAACTATATTTACTTATTTTTTATGTACATACTCGTATAAATATAAAATAAAAACTAAACAGACTTAGCTTTCAGAACTTTCGTCATGCATTTGAAATGTTTGCACATTTTTTGGTGACGTAAATTTCCAAGCGTAATATTCTGTCGCAGGTGCTGAAGAAGTGGTGCCGCCCCTGGAGAGGAGTTACGTAGCCACCGTCCTCGGCCACTACCCCGACGCGGTACCCGGAGCGCCCCTCGACCGCCATGCGCTGCAAATGGTGCGTATCTCTGAAGTCATAAAGTTTTACGACGACAAAAACTTTATACAAGTAGTATAAAGTTTTCTTCCATGTGCTGCGTTAGGACTCTGAACTTACTGTGCATGACTTGGTCACCAAATTTGGATGATTTGTATGTATCGCTGTCTGATAAAAACTGATGGCGAAACCCGCGATTGAAAATGCTTGCTTTTTTCACTTTGGATCTCGATATGTACTGTGAAAGGTCTGATTCATGTGATTTATTTAAGATTAATTGCAAATCCGAGCGCGACAACGTCAAATTAGTCTTGCTGCAATCGATTTTTAGTTGACGCGGTGAAAGCAACACACGTCGTTGCGTGTGGCAATTTAACGGAGCTGAAGGCTGCTCAACACGCTGCGCTGCCGCGTTCGAGGATGGGCCATGCTCGTCTCTGGGGATCAACGCTTACGTAGGTAACACGACCTCTGCGCTCGGGTTACTCCACCTGCAGGAACTCGGATTACGACCTCGAGTAGCCTGGTCAGGGAACCTCGTATGCATAATGCAACCGAGGTTTATGGCTGGAAGCGCAGGGCGGCAGCTGTTGACTTGAGGTTTTCGCTACATGAGTGCGCTCTTCTAGCACTGCTCATGTATACGTGAGAACACTGTGCAGTAGTGTGCATAATGCCTCTTTCATGCAACGTGTGATCCTGCTAGCTGATCATATGGCTCACTCAGGCATCTTCTTTCCGTATTAATCAATGATAGCTTGTTAAATCCACCTCTGAACATTGTTAGTTCATCACAGTTCGTCTATATGCAAGTTGATTAAACAGTCGCCGAAAGCACATGGAGATGCTTAAATGAATAATTTATTTTTTATTTTTTTTTCGTTGTTCGTACATGATTTACGAGTTATCAATGTTTCTCGTGCTCATGGTAGGACAGCTACTGCAATAAAGCATTGGAAAAGTGTTGTTAATACTTGCTTTTGTTAATACTGTACTAACGTTAATACTCTCAGTGAATCTCAATATTCCAAAGAATTGAGCACTGAAATATTCGTCGGCGAAAAAGATCTGTTTCATGAAAAATAACAAGATGCTACACGGATCTATAGTTTTCCTAGTAATTTCATGACAGCAAACAGGATTTCGGAAGACTTTTATTGGTTTGTCTCTTTTTTTCTTGAATTTAAATTCCAGCAGTTTCATTTGCTTGACTTGCCAGAAAGAAACTGCCGTATAAATTTAAGAACATGGTAAAGGGTAAAAAGAAGATATATATACATGCAATAAAACGTTCTATTCCTATGCCATCCGTATTAATGACTCCTTATAGTTTTACTGCAAGTTTAGGCCATGTTTTGGGGCTTGACCCCCCAGTTGGGCAGTTTTTGGGGCTCGATCGCCCAGTTGTTTACTTGCTCCACATTTGAGGAGCTAATAAATTATACTGTCACGTTTTCGATCCTGCGTTAAGGTATCGCGTGGTGTTACGTGATGAGTTATACCATCAGCGATAGGACTATCCAACCACTTGTTTCATTGCAGGAAGTCAATCGCTGAATTATTAGGAATAAAGAAATTAAGGCGCTTTATATTGAATGGTTGCACTCTTGAACAAAAATTCATACTTCCAGTCCAACTAAACAAATCCTCAATATTCCCGCTGCATGTTCCAGGTAATGATTCGCTCCTTATGTGCTGTATATTTTTCTTATTTTTACTGAAATTATTGTATTATTCTAGTGCAGTGATTTTTTCTTGCTATTGATACTTCACAGCGAAACTCAAAATGGTCCCAGGTTTTGTGAAAGCATATTGTAATCAGATTTTAATGAAAATATAATGCATGAACCTGTTCATAAACTGGATGAATATCCAGCCAAGCAGTTCAAGCCAAACAATTCCGACTATTCTTAGCTCCCGCGCGTCATTCTCAAGCTCCTTTACGGTGAGAACAAAGGCACTGTCCTGCCTTTGTATGCTGACACTCCAGAAGTGCTGGACTCACACACGGTACATAGATAGCTTGTCTTAACTTTTCTTTGCCCATTGTCAAGTGTGCTGATGTTTTCTTGTTATCATTTTAAGGGGAATATAGTTTTTTCAACTGAGCCGTTGATTCTGATTTCTTTCTAAAGTGAGTTCTCATGCAGCTTCCTATAGCAATAATGTTAAAACGAATCGCGAATATGATGTCCGGCTTATAAGAATAGTTGATATTGTAGCAAAGAATGTTAACTGTTTGTCTCTTATTTTTCAATAAAATAAGCTCGTTTGACTACATTTTTTGTGGATTTCAATGATCCACGAAACGGATTATTTTCTGAACAGAATTCACATGTTTTCGTATCATAACCTGTGAAGCTTGCCCATTGTTTTCTAACCGTCTTTTATTAATTAATTTGGTGCTATTTTAGGGGAAAATATATTATGTGATGCCTAGTGTTTTAATCAACGTGTAAATCATTACAAAAATTACTTGTATGGTATTAAGCGACTTACATTTTATAGTTTAACACAGTGGCTGTCACTGTTTCGATATGGTCAAAAATGAAATAAACTGTTTGAATTGTACAATATTTCTATCGTTCTTATTAATTTTAAACTGAGGTAGCTGTTGAATAAGTAGGTAAACTAGTTTATTATTTTCTAGACCCGGCATCCAATAATCCGCTCTTGCCTCTTGGTAATCGGTTTCCAGCTTCCTAAAATGTTCCTCCTTAATTCCCTGCCATCTCTACTTTTAACAGTTTTTCCTCTGTGTGCGGATTATTTAGCTAGGCGGCCTTGTACAGGGAAATTGTTATTTCCTTTTTGTACAGGCTAATTATGCAAAGCCTAATGAATGGAACCGGATTTCGACCGGACACAATGTTAAACATGTAATCACTTAGGTTACATGTTTACCATTAGGTATTTGGGGTATCACCATATTGCCCTGCTTAAGTTGTAGGCATATTTCGTGATCACAACCGATATGTAGAGAGTGACTATCAAATTCTTCAAATTACTCAATTTTAGGTCTAGCTTGCCTCATGTTAGAAATTGACAAGAACAGAGATTTTCATGCTCGCCTTACTTATCTAAAAATATGCTTAAAACTGAACCTGTGTAGAGGGCACTAAGCTCGGATTGAATGGGACGCTTTGCCTGAAAAAACATTCGGTTCTAACTTTTTTATCAATGACTTGTTATTAAGATATTGGTTATCTCAAAATCTATTGAGCGGTCACTGTAATTACGGGGAATGTTCATGGTTTATGACTTTCACATCAGCTGGACATCGATTAAATATGTAAATCTTCAATGATGTAAAGACAATATGAATCTTGCCAGCTCAATTGTTGTATACGTGACTTGTGACTTAATTATTCCTTATAGGCGCACAACTCATCATTTATTTTCGGACTAAAACTTGGCGAACTGCAATCATTCGTGCGTGGATCCGCTGATTCTGTAAAAATTTGTAATATTTAACAGTTTTTTCTCTCTGCACAATAAAACACAAGGTCAGCAATAACTTATGGCCCACCGTAAACGGGGTAACCTGGACCGTTTTGACATTTAGGAAAAAAAATTCTATAACTCAAAATTTTCTTACCTTAGAAAAATTATGTTGATGGCTCTTAAAGTACTATGAGATAACTTATAAATGCAGTAAAGATATATTTTGTGTACGATATTATATATTCACTATGTGACTATTAGTTTCACTGAACCCACCAGCTCTAAAAATGGTCCAAGTCACCCCATTGGACGATATGTTAATTGCACTCATATTCTGGATTACTTTTCATCGCTCTTTTGAAATTACTGATCATAAATTTAACAGAATTACGAGCTATTAGTAACATTCTTTAATAGCGATGGTTGATAGATTAATAAGAATTTTTTGTCATCGAAAAAAGGTTCATTTTACTTGGTAAATTTCTAAAATTCAAATTAAAACTTTAAATAATTCTGTTGATCGCATTTGTTGTACACACTAAAAGGAGTTGGCTTCCTTAATTGACCTTTCTTGTTCTCGTCGTTTTCTGGCGAGCAAGGGAGCCTGCGCTGTTATAATCGTTCCATACTCGCTGGGCGGCATTCATTTCCTCACAATTATTAGTTTGTCATTTGCTACATTTAATTTCACCTAAGAATGAGTTACTTGCTAACAGATGGGAACAACCAAATGACTCGCTGGAGCTATTAATGCAAGTGCTGGTATAAGGTAGGCAAAGCGTGTCTAAACAAAGTTACATCAGAGGTGAATCAGAACTAGAATGACAAATATGAAGTTTTCTATCGCGATCCCTTACAACGAACATATTCTTCTATGGCCAAAAACAGTTCATAAGACAAGTTATGACCGCACATATGTTCTTTCATTCTACCTATTGACATTAAGGTTATGTTACATAATAAATATTCTATTCAATTCCTCCATATTCTGCAGATATTTATCCATTTATTGATAATTTTGTTTAGACCTAACCGTTTAGAGGCGACGTTTTGCTTCGCTTGCCGGCCTTGCAGTTCATGTTTGGTTGCGCACGAGGTCACTCATCACGCGCTCACAGAGCGCATCCAGAGCTGTCAATCATTTGCAGGACCTCTCTGCTCTCTAAAATATAGTGTAATGTTAATAATTTACTCTGTTTAATTCCATAATAATTTCATAATATTCATGTTTACTTAGCATTACTTATGAATCGAAGTAAAACTTTCGCAACTTCAAATTCTATGTCAGTTTAAGTAAATAAGACGTGCACTACTGCCAGACTGGGTCAAGATCAAGAATTTTATATGCAGCGAACGCACTCACTCGGCGAGTTCTTGTGAAGAATGCAGTTCATTTACTTAAATCTTGTCCCCATCTGTCCCTCGTGCCATGCAACCATGAATACCCGCGGTATGTCGGTTATAATGTTCTTGGCTACCGCAAAAGAAACTGGTTATTGGAGATTTCATGAGGCTATGAAAGATACTCATGTAATTAGTTTATTTTCATTGAACATACGGCGTAAATCTATATATGATTCTAAAATTGAATTTTCTCAGCAATTATTTTGGTGATATTTATTTTGTAATATAATAATTGATTATGTAATTGATAGTTATTTTGTTTGTTTTAATCACGGTCGATCATGACTGCGACTGATATATTCTCAGCCACAATATATTCTCACAATATATTCCCGCAATATATTCTCAGCCACAATATATTCCTTCGTAGAGAGAGTTAGACTGGCGCCGTTCCTGTAAATGTGCTGAGTTCATCGAAAAGAATGTGCGCACATTAGTTCTTTGTTTTACTGCGTTATTATTATCTAATTATCTGGCTTCTGAAGTAGTCAGACATGCTTTCACAAGTTTTATTGCAGTTAAGATCACTTCTTTGTAATTTGACTGCTTAAATTGAGCTAACATATTTATAACCTATCATAACGTATCATAGGAGTGATGAAAACAAGTTTTTGATTTAATATGCGATAACTTGTGATATGCTTCCGGAGAATTTCATATGATCGACTTTTGATTTTAGCGTGAGTTTTGACTTGACTGTTACAATTATAGTAACTGTCTGTAATCGATAGACATGCGAGCGTCGTGGTTCATCGGATGCTCCTATGATCGAGGAATTTTCTTGGGACATTTATGCGAACAGTTAGCCATGAGGAACGGAGGCAACGAACTCTTGATTCCAATTTGTGTTTTGAATAGGTTGCCTACAAATGTGAAATGTGCATGACGTAATGCGAACCCTACCGTGTATCGAAACTGGACTACATCATTTATGGTAATCTTACCGTTTTTCATTATTATTCATACCGTGTTGAATGTATGTATCAGTGAAAGATCTCGTGTTGCTTAATTACCATATTTTAAATTGAACTTTCTTTTTCATAATTCCCTATTTTCTTTCTCTGGCACGACATTTGGCTACTCGGGCTAGATGTTTCCCGTGAAATTCTTTTGAATTGGGCGAAGTTGTTTGATAATTCCCGAACACTACTATATTGGCGACTCCGACTTTCAGCTGATAGCCTAACATCAAGTTACTATGTTTATTTACCATGTCTAAATGAATTTGTATCGATCTATTATCGTTGCTTGTAGTGGGAGTAAACCTATCAATGACAGGCATGGTCATGTCCAACAATAGAAAGAATATTTTTCGTCACCTTTTACCAACTTCGGTCGTGCTAAAGCCAATTCCAGTTAACAGTTAACGACCCGACAGTAGAAAGAATATTTTTCGTCGCCTTTTACCAACTTCGGTCGTGCTAAAGACAATTCCAATTAACGACCTGATTCTCAAGGCAACGCGATCGCGCTGCATGCATGTGAGCTCCTAGCTGAACTGCCGCGTCGACTTGAGTGCACGGAACTGCGATGTGCCGTCTTATCGCACCCTCCTTTATCGGTCCTTTGGCAATCGTGCTTCTCAAGAGCTTCCTTACCTGCTCCCTTCTTTGGTGGGTCACCAGAGGACTTATCACGCTACACCGCAATGCGTCATGGGCTGATTCATGAATAATGGATCTATCTATATATACTCCACTCAGCTGCTCGACATGAATGTCTGACGCAATATGATGTTTGTAACAAAAGCATTACTGACAGCCTCCAAACTAAGATATTGCTTTCACATACATAATTTATATCATTCATAGTTGATGACAAAGCATGAATTAGTAAAGCAAGAATAGACTGAATTAGTCAAAGCATGAATACACTGATCATAAACATGAATAGACTGAATTAGTTAAAAATGCAATAAATTAAATTGGTTTTGACAATGCTGATGTCGGTATATGCTTGACTTTAGACAGCTCTCCCTTCAACTTCATCGAGGTATATTCCTAGTTTTTTTCTCGTTGGCCTCGCGAAATCACGCAGTTGGATCCCTAATTCGAATAAGTATCGTTCCTTATCCAGTCCGAACTCTGAGCTCTTATAAGAGCCAATGCATTTATTGTTTCCAACTCTTCGAAGTAAGAAACTCCTATAAGGAGTTTCTGCATGTGGATATGAGTGGATATACTCCATGATAGGGGTATAAACTCCTATCATGCATGTGGATGCAATCGCTATTTCTTAGTTTCCTTAGTACGGTATTTGTTTCCGACGTAGCAGTCCCAGGTCACGGTGGATCACCGCCTCTGATCAAGCGCTCATCCGCCCTCATTTGGGCCAGCTGATGCACGATGCTGTTGCTTGCTTCTCGCCGTCGGTAGTGGTGCAGGGGAGGTCGATAAGGAATTGTGCTCAGGATTCAATACTAATTCCATAATTTTTCCTTTTGTCTTCCAGTTATGCCTGCCGAAGGGGCTGCAGTTGCGGACTCAGAAGCAGTCGCTGGAGGCGGTGTACCATCCGTTCCTGATCACCCGCGAGGACGGGTCTCGATGCTACGGTTTCGCCTACACCTTCTACGAGGAGGTCAACTCCACGCGCATCTGCACCGCGCTCCACGCTCTCCAGGTAGCTTTCACTTCATTCATTTTGTTCTGTCGTTATTTGGCTGTGTTTTATGATGTGTATAGTCTGGGATTGTATTTCCTCTTCGTTAATTAACGCTACGTGCATTGGTGCCACGTTACTCGCTCTTTAGGTAACATTCACACTATGCAATTTGGCCCGACACAGTTGGCTGTGTTTTATGGTGTGTATGGTCTGGGGAGGATTTCCTTCTCTTTTGATTATCGCTACGTGCAGCGGCGTCATGCCACTCGCTCCAAGTAACATTCATACTCATAAATGTCATCTGAAACACTTAACTACTGTGCTTTATAATAATTACCGTCCTTGGATGGATTTGGTACTGTTTAACGTTACTCGCACGTCTACCGCGGCACTGAGTCTTCACGCACTGTTTTATCCCCAACGCTGTATCACTGGACAATTTACTGCACCGACAGGGCTCTGGGTATCTCATATGCTTGTGTTCGTCAACTATATCTCTCGGGGATCGATTTAAACACCCTCCGGTAAACTCTCAATATTATTATTAAATGTAGACAATCTATTTTAGTGTACGCGTACAATGAGCAATACGGTACTCACGTTTGATATAAAAATATAATAATAAGTAATAAGTCGTTATTGACGTGTTCCAGTCTGCGTACCTGTCGGAGGTGTCGAACACCCACGGCAGCAGCAGCAACGTGTCGGACTGCATCGGTACGCCACAGAAGGGCGACGCCCGTCGCGACACTCGGTCCCTGCCGCGGGAGTTCCGATGGTCGTCGCCCAACTCGGGGGCGTCACGTCAGTTTTATGACGTCACCAAGGACCAGCTCTTCGTGTCCAAGTGCATCGTCTTGATGGGACGCCAGCCTGAAGTCGGAGCTGCTCGGAAATTTCTTGTTGGACTTTATAAGTTAGCATCTTAGTCGTGGTCTGTTAATGATAGTATCTTAGTCTTGGTCTGTTAGGATCTTAGGACCACGGATCTTAGCATATTAGTCGTGGTCTGTTAGGATTTTTAGGACCACGGATCTTAGGACCTTAGTCGTGGTCTGTAAAAGTTAGTAACTTAGTTGTGGTCTATCAATGTTTCATCTTTGTTGAAAACCTAAAACGTCGTAATGGGGGCTCAGAAATTATTTGAGTAGTGATATGAATTCACTTTTAAATTGCCTATTTATTAATTTTCAATGGTTACATTACAAATATTTATATTTACGTTCAAATATCCTACAATTTCATTAGTCTTTACTGATATTGCTATTGGTATATGTAACTATACCAACTTAATTCTCTCGGAATAATGGAAGGATAAAGATTAAAGTAGCCAAATTTGTAACTCGACAAAGTCTGAAGTTGTACGCCTGTACAAACAACTTGCTGGTGTTGCAGGCTGTTCACAGAGTGCGAGGGCGGTGCAGTGACGCTGGAGTCTCACGTACACAACCTCCTGTACGAGGTGCACGCGCCCCCTGCCGGCCGTTGCCTGGCCTTCAGTTGCGTGGGGTCCCCCCAGATCTGCTACAGACCCACCTCGCATGAGCTGCCTCTCTTGCTTGTGAGTATTTATGTTCGGTTGTGATGGATGGCGTCGAGTTATTGTGAACCTTTTGTGACGTGTTTATCATGCGAGTTAAATTGAATGTAATTTTTATAAATAATAACTCTACGTTCCTGATTTGTTTAGTAGCGCTTCAATGGACGACGTCGAGTTATTGTGAAACCTTTTCTGACGTGTTTATTATGCGAGGTTATGCGGCAATTGAATACAATTTTCATAAAAATAACTCTATGTTTCTGATTTGTTCAGTAACTCTTTAATGGACGGTGTTGAGTTAATGTCACTCCCGCACTGGGTTTTGATTATAAAGGTTACTGCGTAACTCGATTTCGTCATCGTAGGAACCGACTCCGTCCGTTCTCTTTGCATCGTACCTACCTTAATTATTTGCATTTGGAAACGAAAATCACTTTCGAAACGAATTTTTAAATCAAGGTTAGCGGTTATATTAACATCGACATCTTGTCTCTGTGAAAAAAATGTTTAAACACTTATTTTTTTTTTCATATGCGATGTCGCAGACAATGCTGTATTTCATGTCACTATGCTTAGTATCTCATGAGGTGATGGTCATATCTCTATGCTTAGCATCTCATGAGGTGATGGTCATATCTCTATACATAGTACTATCTCATGGTCATGGTACTTCACAGTATCCTCTCCGGGAGTTGTTCTCGGTGCTGAGCCCCGAGTGTGTGGTGCAGCTTCTGTCCTGCATTGTCCTGGAGAACCAGATACTCCTCGTGTCGGCCGGTGGGTAACACTTCTCCTTTTGGTCCTTCAACGGATGAAATCAAACTTTTTTTTATAATATCCGTTCGGCTTATAATAACATCATAATGTGATAAATTCAAGATAAATTCAGATGATGATACGGATGGTAAAAACTGAATTCTGATGCCTCATGAATGATTCAACACATGTGTGGTTAAGATCACTGTTCCAAATCATCAATACACTCGAGGACAATGTATGATGTGCGTTAACCTCTGCATCACCCCGGCCCATATGTGTCGCGGTGGTAGCAGAAGTACTGTGCATAACACACCTTGTATGTACAGACTACTACCGCCTCATGCTGGTAGCAGAGTGCATGTGCGCGCTGGTACTACCGTTCTCCTGGCACCACGTGTACGTGCCCATCCTGCCAGCAGCGCTGTCACACTTCCTAGACGCGCCCGTCCCGTTCATCATGGGCCTTCACGCCACCCCCGCCGCCAAGAGCCACATCGCAATACCTGACGAGGTGCCCTCCCCTACAGGGACTTCATTGATTCGCTTACATTTGTATCTATTTAATTTATTTACTTTTTATTTGTATCTATCCGAGTATCTATTCAAGTTGGAATCAGCGGGTCTACTGAATTTGTCAACTTTGTAGAGTGTATTTAAATGTCGAATGATAGTAGCATCATGAACTGCAGAGACATGCTTATTGGCTCTCAGTTACTTACTTTTATTTGGCTATTTTCAATTTCTGCGAAGTTATTTTATTTAATCATGTATTGTATGATTATTGAAAATGCAAGGAATTTCTCTTACTGAGTATGAAAGTGCGTACGTAGTTCAACTATCGTCGTCATTAGGGATAAATTCATCTGCACCTTCCTTAGTTGCTGTAGTTCCAAAGTATTTTAGTTAATATTCTTTCCCGACCACTTAGCAGTAAGAATCATTTAATCTGACGGTTATCGTCGTCATTAGTAAGGTTCCGGTTCATTTATTGGTCTCAATGCATGATAATTGCATGGTTCTCAAGAGCGCACCAGCGTCTAAAGTAATAACATACAAATGTCATTTTAACCTCAATAAATAAAACCGCATGGACTTTCAGGCGAACCTGTGTCTGGTGGACGTGGACGCTGGGGCGGTGGACGTGCCCGAGGACTTGCCTCAGTTCCCTCACGCGTCAGAGTTCGTAGCGGAGCTAAGCGCCCTCCTCGCCCGCTGGGACCTGCCGGTGCCACAGCACCGCTCCCTCGACAGGTGCGTAGCCGCTACATGCAACTCAAGGACTGTCAAGTCCCAAGATCTTATTGCTATGANAGAGACAGGCTGTTACATCAGCGATCATTTTGTAATTTGCGTGGCCGTTCATGCAACTGCAGGACTGTCAAGTCCCAAGTTATTATTGCTACGACATCAGCTATTATTTTGTAATTCTGCTGAAAAATGAGTTTAACTTGGTTAAGGGAACTCTGAACTATTAGGTTGCAAATTATAATTACCGTAAACTTTATGATTTTATGGTTACGGTTGAATTTTGTCGGTCGAAAATTTCACTTTTGTTTTGCATTACTATGGATCTGTATGTCCGATGTGCTATTTAGCCTACATTTTGATGGTGTGTCCAAGATAGATGAATAATTGTTAACTTCGAATTATTTCTAAATGTTTTACCGTCGTTCCCAGTAAACAGGTATTTCATTAAAAAAATCATAATGATTTTTTATTAAAAAAAGCAGACTTCTTGCTGCATAGATAAAACTAATAATTCTTTAATTCTAAACGTTCTCTGAGGCTTTACTAGGTATACTAATAGCCCAGTGATATGTGGCCTGAATGCAATAAATATGCGTAACCAACAAATCGTTATTACTCGGATTTATATGTTCGTCAATCCTTCATTGGCGTATAAATAAGAGATTGGACATTGAACTATTTTTATTTTGCTAGTTGAATCTTCATAATTGATACAATTGTAATTTTTATCACTATTGTGATGCTATCATGTCCTACATTCCTATCATTTATTGCTTCATCAACTATTCGCATCATCATGGCTCCTGCATCACTTTCGGTCTCAGACTTAAATTCCTTTACAAATGGAACGTAAATTTCTCTCTAAACATGACGTGAGCTACTGACCGATCTTTCTTCTCAAGACTTTCTCCAGTTTAAAGTCATATTACTTCTTCGCTTTATTTATATTATATACGAACATCATTGCATTGTTTATACACTAGGTAATTAGCTGGGATTGCGATTTTATGTAGCAAGTAATCATTCCACTGGTCGAATCCGATGAATATTTTCGAAAATGACAGAACTTCACATGTAATAGATTCTTATTTATGGTTACAATATGACAACATTGTCACGATATGTGGCCAATTTAGGGCCAAGAATAACGAATAGGCTTATTTTGGCTGCTGTTCCTTTGAAATTCCTCTTATTAAATGAACACCGGTTGTTTTTAGTCTGACTAAGTTCAGTTTTGATCAAATTCAAGTTTATAGGGGTCATCATACAAACTAGCCAACCTCAAACGGGCTATTTATGAATATTGTCTCAAAACGGTCAATTTATGATATGGTTATGCTAAATACTGACAGGCTTCTTTATTCGCCTTCCTTTACCCATGTCTTATAGAGCTATTTTTCTCTGTATGTCTCAGATCATGAACTTTTCCATGGTATAAGCTGCCATATTTTATACGTTTCGTCGTTTGAATGGTCCCTAAATTGAGCATATAAATCAGTTTGGCCTGCTTGTGTGCCGCACGTCTCAGTCCACGAGGTACCCCGTCTGGTTTGTTAACACTTGTTTCTTTCATCTCACTTCTCTTTTAATTAACATCAGATGAAGCTTGATTGGAAATGAAGTTATTCAAAGACTGGATGGTCTTGAGTGTGTGTCAATTTTTCAAGTATATATATTGACGAAGTACTTACACTGCACATTGTTATTGATGGCTTCAATGGAAGGCATGTTTTCTTGCTTGATACTATTACTCATTGACTCATTGTTACATACGCTCTAGATTAATCAATACTTCACCTGGAAATAGAGCAAGACTAAAGGGCTTAGGTTAAATCTTGAATGGTTGAACTAGTATAAGGTTGACCCATGAGATGCTCATTTTGGCGGATGTAGTTCGTTCTTCGACGTCACTGAGATCAGTGACGTCACAGGCATTAACCATTCACCGATATGCGATTAAACCAGTCAACCAATCCGTCGTGGGAATGACTGGTTTGTTTACGTTTCTCGATCTCAGTGACGTAACAAGAAAGCTGAACTGAAAGACGGAAATCCTCGTGGGTCAACCTTATATAGTTCAACCATGGTAAATATCAGCCTGTGGTGCCCCAGTCTCAGACGGCTGCCTTGCAACTCGTCACTCTGCACTAACTTCTGCGTGTATTTCTCCCTCTACTCCCATACGGCCTGACGCTGCTGCTGCTCTTCTCTCTGCCTCCTCTTCTGTGTTCCGCGTCACGTCATCGCATCATCTGCTCGTTTTGCCTGCACATAAACCACCAACATCTCACATCATCATCATCATCAATATATCACATCATGTACACCAACATCTCACATCATCACCAATATATCACATCATGTCTATCAGCATCTCCTACATCGTGACCGACCACATCTGGCATCGTGACGACCAATAATCTCACATCATGTACACAAACATCTTCCACTGCTCGTTCTAAAAACATTCAACATATGACTCATCTAACTTGATCTCATAATTTTTTCTATGCTTCTAATATCCACGATAAATTTTTCTATGTTTTCTACGCTTCTAATGTCAACGAGAAATTTTTTCTATGCTTCTGATATCCACAAAAATTTTTCTATGCTTCTAATATTCATAAGAAAATTTGTTTTGTGTGCTGTTTACGTTGCTACTGCTGATATGCTATTTTTTATCGTTAATTCCTAACCTGAGATTCTGATTTATTCCTATTGATACGCATGAATTCTGTGCGCATTTTGTTATAATTTACTTCTATGCTCACATTCATTTTAAATTTCTTAATATTTATTAAATTTATTTACAAGTGGCTGTATTTACCGGTGCCAAATATTTTCGAACATCTTCGAATTTTGTTGCATTTCTTCGTATTTATTATGAGGCTACAGAAGTTGCGCGAAGGAAAGCTTTATTCACAAACACCAGCGGCGACGCAAGTATTCCTGGTGCCACGACTCAGACTCTGGAGTGTCGAGCAACGAAGGTTCGGTGACAGGGTCTCTGTGCGGCTCCATGAGCGATTCCGTCACGGGTTCCATGTCAGGATCCTTCTCTGGGTCTCTGAGCAGCTCCATGACAGGCTCCTTCTCTGACTCACACTCCTCTGGAGGCTCGTGGCTCCAGAGCTCCAATGCTTCTGCCCTAAAGGCTTTGCGTGCTGACATGAACCAAGCAGCTTGTAGCGGAAACTCTCGGTTGCAGGACATGAAACCTCCTCCCTTGTCTTTATTTAATGGTGGACTGTCGCCTTCCTTTGACCGGCCTCTTACCTCTCAACTTAACGCTAAATCTGCAGTTACATCCACGAATGTAAATAGTGATCAGGGGCACCTCAACGTTGTTAACAACAACAAACTATCATGTAACGGTAGTAAAAAATATCCACCACCCCCGGAATGTTCGTTGACAAGCGTCACTGCATTCCATGACCACGGCCCTTCTTCTGGTTTAGCTGATGCCGCTTCTAAATTATTGTCTTCTCATCCTTCTTGTTTACCTCTCTCACCTCGTACCACACGACGCCTTCATTCCCTTAATTCCTGCACACATCACACGACATCGTCACCCCCCACATCATCACTTGCCTCTCCTACGCACCATCACTCTACGCCTCGTGGGGAACAGAGTCGCTCAGGTTCTCCCCACCGTTCCAGCAGCTCTGGAGGCGGCGGCCCCTCCAGTCCTTTCCTCTTCCAGACTTCCCTCAAAGATATCAGCCAGTCCCCAAATAGCAAGGACTTCTCTGTGAGCTCCAAGAGACCTGGTGGGTACTAGCTGTCATTCTTTGAAGAAAACTTGCCAAATAAATACTGTATTATATTGCCAAATTTGAGTTTTCAGTACGCGAGTCGTTAGTTTCCTTAGCTTGATCTGTGGATTTTATGTGAAATATTAATTAGTAAAATATTTTGAATCTTACGGTCGAACGAAGCGCGTGAATTCACGTGATTCAATAATTTTGACTGAAGACATCTAGTAACCGAATAGCTGAAAGATATTTCTATTATTAATAGTCAATATTAGTTAATGCTATTGAAAACAAATTATGTTAACGCTATTTGTTGAAAGTAACAATGTTCTGCATAAAACTTTCTTGCACTCAGATTCTACACTCAATAAATTAAATGGCACAATCTCCCTCTTCTCCCTCTTCATGCCCCTGGCAGGAGTGTATGATAGAGAAAGTCTACGGAGAGCTCTTGTAAGCAGCGGTCTCGGTCAGGAGAACCACAAACAACTTAACATCATGGACATCACGCCTGCCTGTCCTGAGGTGCAGGCCTTCCTTGAGATGTTGCAGTTCAACAGCGCCGTCAGGGAGGTCTTCTTCAACAGATTTGTGCAGATGTTCTGGACGTACGATCACTTCATTATTCAGCCCGACGTACGAGTGAGTTACGACTGTTCAACTTAACGCTAAATCTGCAGTTACATCCTCGAATGTAAATAGTTACCAGGGGCACCTCAACGTTGTTAACAACAACAAACAATCATTAATACTGTATAATATTACCAAATTGCCGTAGTACCTGTGAGCTATTACTTTTTGTAGCCATTAATTAGTTTTTTATGCATGCATATAGGTCAATTGTGAGTACCTATTTCAATTGATTAAAATGAAACAATAACTTCTGTAATTCTAGTCAGCGATCACGCAGAACATTACCGTATGTATTAGATAAAAAAATCGTACGTATGTCTACTATTGCCAATTTTTGTCATGCTCTTTCTGAGACGTAAAGTAATCCCATTCCGAATTGAATTCTACATACATATTTCCGTTATATATTTTCCCGTTCTTTATACAGAAACTAAAATTTAGCAATACCAGACAAATCTTGTTCATCATTAAACGAAATAGACCTGTAAAACCATTTTAAAATCAAATCATAATGAAAAAGTTTTGTATATCAAAAATATATTCCAGGAAGAACACCTGTTTCTAGAAATTGTCCTAGTAGAATAGATTTACTGTATAATATATCAACGGCACAAAATGACAAGACGCTGATTTAAACTATTCTATTAGTTCTTTCTTTTAGCAGAAAACGCATCCTTCACGTTTATTTCTGAATATGTACTGGTAATTGATTATATTTTAAAAGTTAGGGTTGACGTAATAAATAGTGGAAACCGTCGGCTTTTTCATCGTATCGTCATGAAACGATCTAATTTATAAACACCTGGGCCAATACTTTCAAAAAAAAGTTAAGAGATCGTAAGTTCATCAGCCAATCATTGACGGCTTTTCAAGCCAAATCTACCAATCATAGACAAGAAAGTGAGCGTAAGTACTTACGTTCACTTAGCGAGTTCTGAAAGTATGGCCCCTGAGATGGTGTATTACGTTGTGCCCAGGAGGTCGACATGGAGACGTGGATCAACAACAGGGAATCTCTCCAGAATTTCGACAAAGCGACGTTCTTGTCTGACCAGCCCGTCGCCCACCTGCCCTTCTTGTCTCGCTTCATCGAGTCTCAGATGTTCGCTTCATTTATTGACAGCAAAATACTCTCCTTCTGGGGCGAGGTTAACAACAACCAGCGACTCTTTGACGCCAGGATACGACAGCTCAGGTGCAGATCTTAACTTTTTTTGATAGAAAAGACAGCTTTTGTCTGGTTGTTCCACAGTGCACATGCGCGAGAGATGTATTCAATAATGAAAGATATGATCTTTCACACATTACGTTCTGCATGACATCAATTTCATTAAAATTTTTGTTATATTCTGTACTAGAAGGTAACCCGGGACTGCCTGGGATCTAAAATCGTTGCCATTTTAGAATTCCGTTGTCCCGAACGAAAAAATAATAATAAAAGTTATCTCTGCTCATCAATATATTACCATGTAATACTCATATCTCTCTCCCATTGAATCTCGTAAAAATGTAACAAATTATTTCGCGTCTTTAAATTAGGTACGTACGTATATTTAAAGCATTTCAATATCAAATTTTTTATTCACTTCTTTCCTCAAAGATTTAACAATGTCGCTTTTATCCCGTTAGGAATAAATAAAGAGATCCACATTAACTAATTCAGTTAGACAAACATATCTGAAATCATTGTAAGCTTGGTGAATGAAACCTTGGTCAAAATAGTATACCTATATCATAATAGCGTAAGAATAATTTTAATTCGTAGTGATGAATTGTTTTTGCAAACTGAAATTATTTTTCTAAGCATTCATTATTCTAAAGTTTTCGCCTTCTCCTAATTGCAAACTGAATATTCATGTTATTCGACACTATTTTGATCACCTGCTACCAGCACGAACGTGTTTGTTATTAAATTATCATTTCATTTTAGACATCTCGCATACGTTCAAACTTTGGAACACATGATGAAAAATGAACCAAGCCATTGATCCATTGATGTATAAATCAGTGATGAATGTATGATACAGGGAACACGTGGACCAAAGTGTCGTTTATTCTAGAGATTTAGGATACGTTCAAACTTTAGAACTTTTGAATAGACCCCAACATGATTCAAACTTTTAAATAGACCCCACCAACATGATGAAAAATGAACTAAGCCAATGATATAGGTATAAATCAGTTAATAATGTATGATGCAGGGAGCACGTGGACGAAAGCGTGGTACGGCCGCCGTGTTACGAGCCATGCACGAGCATCGTAGACTCGGCCGCCTACGTTCAAACTTTGTAACACATGATGAAAAATGAACCAAGCCATTGATGTTGATGTATAAATCATTGCTTAATGGATTAATTTATGATACAGGGAACACGTGGATGAAAGCGTGGTACGGCCGCCGTGTTACGAGCAATGCACGAGCATCGCAGACTCTGCAGCTATCCTAGAGAAGAGGTTGTCCCGCATCGACTACGTGGCGGCCGCGCCCGTGACCCTTGACCCGCTCACGCAGTCCTGCACGCTCTTCAACCCTGGACACTTCCCGCTGCTAGACAGGACGGCGCTTAACAAGGAGCCACAGAAGTGAGATGTCTAACTCGGCCACAAGGATTTATATCATAAAGCCTTGTCAAAAGGAGCCACAGAAGAGAGATGTCTAATTCGGCCAGCATCAAACTTTGCCAAATAAGGCCAAAATTATTAATAATAATAGGCCATTAATTTTTATTGAAATTTATATCATCAAGCCTTGCCAAATAAGGCGAAAATTATTAATAATATTAGGCCAATAATTATTAAGAATAATAAAATTTATATCATAAGCCTTGCCAAATAAGGCCAAAATTATCAATAATAATATGCCATTAATTATTAATAAAATTTATATCAGCAAGCCTTGTCAAATAAGGCCAAAATTATTAATAATACTAGGCTATTAATTATTAATAAAATGTAATCATCAAGCCTTGCAAAATAAGGCCGAAATTATTAATAATAATAGGCCATTTATTTTTATTAAAATTTATATCATTCAGCCTTGTCAAATAAGAATGTATCCGTGAACAAAGGGTTTAAGTTGTTTATTACATGTTCCGTTCATCACTTTTTAAAACGTTAATAAACCATGTTGATATCTCTCAATATGTAAGAAACGTGTCGCGTCATTGAGATAAATATTGTGCATCATATTATGTTATGCAAGCTGTCGTTATACGAAGTAACAATTCAAATCTCTTGATTGAACTTGAGCTTTCCTCCCAGTGATTAGTATGTACAAAAAGAGAGGCTGTGATCAATGTAGCATCGGTTTTATCATTGTAAAAACACTAGTTTATCGTCAGTCATGAAAAGATCCGGTCAAATGACACGATTTTAGATCTTCTTTGAACAAGGCACGAAAAGTACAAGAATGGGCGACAGGCCACATCAGGCCTACACTTCAGCGCCGACATCACTATGTTATGTGATATTAATTAGATAATTTAACAGTGGCAGAATATTCTCATATTTCGCGTCGGTGAATATCTATTTAATATCAGCAACATATGTCAGTATTTAATATCAACTACATATGTCAGTATTTAATATGAGCAACATATGTCAGTATTTAATATGAGCAACATATGTCAGTATTTAATATGAGCAACATATGTCAGTATTTAATATGAGCAACATATGTCAGGAGTAAGAAAAGTCGCGGTGCGTGGAGGAGGCGTGAGCGGCAGGCGCAGCACTTGCAGCACACAGGCCTCAGCGCTGAGCAGAAGGACAGGGTGCTGAGTGAGGCCAAGACCCTGCACCCCGCCCTCCCTCCCCACCCCAAACTTGCGGACATGGCGCCCGCCCTCATGGCCCATACCAACTGGAAGTTCGTCGAGCAACTGTTGAAGGTTGGTAGCGTATATTGCAGCTAGCTAGTTACTATGTATATTGCAGCTAGCTAGTTGTAAGTAAATTATATAAATTATAGCTAACTAGTTACTAAGTATAGTTCAGCTAGCTAGTTAGTAAGTAAATTATTGCTAGCTAGTTACCAAGTAAAAGTAAATTACTATAGCTAGCTAGTTAGTAAGTAAACTATAGCTAGCTAGTTACCAAGTATATATTGTAGCTAAAAAGATATCTGGTTTATTGACATCAATATGCTTTTTCACTTACTGATCAAATGATTGATTACGGAGACGATTAAGGGCAGGGTGGCCCAGTGGTTAAAGTTCAGAGTACCAAGATTGGGTCAGAGAAGCGCGGGTTCGATCCCAGCTCTGTGCGCCAGTTTCTGGTCAGAATCGACGAGGAGGCCGGGCGGTTAAGCACAGCAGAATTGTAGCAGTGAGTTGAACACGATGTACGTGAGAATGTTCAGAGGTGATCAATAGTCAAGTCGTGTATTAAATTTGCAGGGATCGTCGTGTTACTCACACTTGTAATATTTTATTCGATCACAGGACTGCCTGATGCGTGCACTGGGTTCTTGGTATTGTTACCGTGTTTTATTTCTTGAATTGTTGCCGTGTTTGAATTCGTGTTTGAAATGATGGTCAAGTACTTAATGATTAAGTACTAATGATGGTCAATTACTTAATGATTAAGTACCTACTTAGTGATTGGTTAAGTACTAATGATGGTTAAGTACTTAATGATTGGTTAAGTACTTGGCGATTGGTTAAGTACTTGATGATTAAGTACTCAATGTTTTGTGAAATACTAATAATGGTAAAGTACTCAATACCTACGCGCTCACACTGAAGCCTCCCATGACTGTGGCAGGAGTGCAAGACGCGCATTAAGCGCATGTTGGTCGCCAAGATGGGGGCGGAGGCGGTGGAGTTGGTAGAAATCACCTTTAGTGATTATATTATATTAGGAAATACTGTGGCAGGAGTGCAAGACGCGCACTAAGCGCATGCTGGTGGCCAAGATGGGGGCGGAGGCCGTGGAGTTAGGACACCAGGAGGCGTCGCTGGTGGGGGTCGAGGAGAACACGCTCGTCGCCTCCCTCTGCCATCTGCTGGAACGTGTCTGGGCACACGGACTACAAACTAAACAGGTAGGTACTTTCCTTAGGTCGTATTATGCACTATTTCATTGTTGCTGTGGTAACTGTTTCATTCGTCGTATACTTTCTGTACTGTTGAATTATTAGTTTGTAATGTATTCATGTGAAATAGAAACGTATAACTTCCAATCCCACTTTTCTTTTTATTATATTCGTAGTTGTGAATTTCAGAACTTATATTTACGTATAACTCAAGAGACTGCCGTTGGTTAGCAATCGTCTGTCATGATACTCACTTGCCTATATTCAGCTGTGCGACCCTCAAGCCAGCTTACGGAACTTTTACATTTTTTGTCGTCCTACGTAAGACCATATGAAAGTCTGCCCTTGTTTTATTTACTTATTGAACATAAATCTTTTCATGTGATCACCTTTTCCTACTATGCACGAGCACACGTTGATGATATCTATGTTATCAGGGCAAATCAGCGTTGTGGTCGCACTTGTTGAGCTACCGCGAGTTGGAGTTATGTTGCGGCTCAGCGCTACCAGACGATCCCAACTACCTCTCTCCTGGTGAGACCCTGGAATTACATTACAAATTACATATATTGACATCGCCCGTCATTTGTTCCAATTGACAGCCTCCAACTTACTGTCTCCTGGTATTACATGTATTGACATCGCCCGTCCTTTGTTCGAATTGACAGCCTCCAACTAACTGTCTCCTGGTGAGATCCTCCTGTCTCTTTGATTTGCAACATTGCTGTTAAAGGATCGACTTGATTGTTTGCATTCTAGGTCTGCTTGCCAGCGTTAGATCATTCATTGATCTAATGCTTGAGATCATTGCTTAGATCATTGAGTGTTCAAAGCTCCTAATGTCCTGTAATATTGTCCTCTGTTTATGCTGATTTGGAAGTAAGGTGTTACCTGTTTGCACACAAAATCTTTATTGTTTCTTGTTTAAGAGAATAAAATTATGTTTTTTACTATCGCCTTGACTGTTTATCGGGGGGCGGCAGCTCAGCTATAATGTGTTCTTACGGTTTGGTATGATTTCATTTGCTATATTAACATTTTCTGACAGAGAACAGGCTGGTGGGCGCATTTGTCGCCACAAGTCTTAACCCAACTATATAAAAAAAAATATATTAACATTATAGGCTGGCGCTGCATCCATCTTGATGATCGCCACACTCTTGTAGTTTGGTATAGATTATTGTCAACAAGTTAGAATCTGCTGATCTATTTCTCAACAAGTTGAGAAATAGATCAGCTGCGAAGATGTTACGTATGTTACGAGGATGTTACTTATGTATGTTACGACTTACGAGTATATTCCGTATATTACGAGGTTGTTACGTTATGTATGTTATGAGGATGTTACGAATGTATGTTATGAGGATGTTACGAATGTATGTTACGAGGATGTTCCGTATGTATGTTACGAGGATGTTACTTATGTATGTTACGAGGATGTTACTTATGTATGTTACGAGGATGTTACTTATGTATGTTACGAGGATGTTACTTATGTATGTTACGACGCTAATACGCTCGTGTTATTTCCCTTGTTTAGCCGTGGCCCTGTACTCCTTCAGGAAACACATCGATCGTACGTCCAGTATTGCTTTATCTCATGCACAATATCAAAGAATTGCACACATTCATTTTTCCGTATATAAGTGCATGAAATTGGTTTTAATATTTTTATATCTAGCCTCAGCGTAAAATAGAATGCACTTTTTCCTAAGGAACAAACTTGGTGTTTAGATATTCATTCAATCCATGCATCGAGAAATCATTAGTTTCAGTACATGAGAAATGGTGAGAAATGGCCCTGCTTATTGTTGCAACCTGTGAATGTAATTGTTTACATTTTATGTTGAACGTGGCATTATAATTGCATGAACAACTGTTCACTTTATTGTTTGGTTTGAATTTAGGTGTCAAAATTTCATTCAGTCTTAGGCATGCTAGATAATTGGTAATATTTTTTGCACTGTCTTAATGTTGGTTTTCTAAGTTGGTTTATAGGTTGTAAAATCATTTTGATATTTGTTCTGATAAGTTAGATTCATGATAACCGTCTTCTGAACAATGATTTAACTAAATGGCGATGTAGTAACAGTTTTGCGAGAACAAAATGTCAATTAGGACTTTCTTTTTCTTTTTCATATATAAAGTCATTCATATTTTTCAGTTTTATAATATAAGTCATTTATATTTTTCAGTTGTTAAAAATTTTAATTGTGTCCTCTAAGAAGGCGTGAAGTGATGTCATCCCTGGCGAATTTATTTAAAATTTAACGGTTTGTCCTAATTTGATGTTGATCAAAGTTCTGCAATTAATCCATTTCAATAACGATGCTGGCTGATCTGCTCTACACAGCCTGTTAATTATTTCCATTAGTAGTCGCTCGTTTAGAGAGCGGATGGCTCTAGTGGAAAATACTTCCTTCAAGTATAGGAAAGATATTTATAGAGATATTTAAAAACTATTTAAACTTGCAAATCCTCCGTAAAATTTCAAGTTATTCGGTAACATTTTTCAGCTAAAACCCCATTGTCTATGATTTCTCAATCGAAGGTCTCACTGAAAAAATAATTCGGGAAATATTAAACTGTGACAAACAACGGATTAATTAATATAGTAAGCATAAATGTAGGTAATGCTTCATGATGTTGCTAATGTTTGCATTATTCTGCTTGTTTTGCCGGCTTGCTAGCTTGTGATAACCTTCCTTCAGTGACCTGAAATTTTAGTCTTTTCAGTAACCTGAAATTTTTTTGTTAGTCTTTTAGTCTTTTAGTCTTTTTTAATTTTTAATTGTTTACCCAAGTGAACATTATCTCCTACAGCCTTCATGGAGGGCCTCAGCACGAGCGTTGCAGGTAACTATAGAGTGTGTGCAATTATACGGCACTCAGAGACGTGCTCATAGCAAGACCACGATCACTTGGGCCATGCGATTTTATGTAGCAAGTAATCATTCCACTGGTCGAATCCGATGAATATTTTCGAAAATGACAGAACTTCACATGTAATAGATTCTTATTTATCATTACAATATGACAACATTGTCATGATATGTGACCAATTTAAGGCCAAGAATAGCGCACAGACTTATTTTGGCTGTTGTTCTTTTGAAATGCTTGTCAATAACCACCGGTTTTTGTTTTTTTTTTCTTTCATCTCGCTTCTGTTTTAATATCAGATGAAGAATAATTGGAAATAAAGTTATTCAAATACTTGATGTTTCTGAGTGTGTGCAAATTTATTAATTTTATTTGTATATATATTGACGAAGTACCTACTCACACTGCACATTGTTATTGCCGGCTTCAACGGAAGGCATGTTTTTTTGCTTGATGGTACTATTACTCACTGACTCATTGTTACTTACGCTTACTTATCAATACTTCACCAGGAAATAGAGCAAGACTAAAGGGCTTAGGTTAAATCTTGGTGTATATTAATAATGCCATGCAAGAGAGCAGTCACATGTGTGTTCGAGTTGTAAATAAGTCGTGTGCCCTGGAAATATCCATGGTTGAACTAGTATAAAGTTGACCCATGAGATGCTAATTTTTGCGGATGTAGTTCGTTATTCGCCAGTGACGTCACTGATCTCAGTGACGTCACAGGCATTACCCAATCACCGAAATGCGATCAAACCAGTCAACTAATCTGTTTATCTTAACCAGTTAAACTTAATCAAATCAAACTTAATCAAACCAGTCTGTTTACGTTTCTCGATCTCAGTGACGCAATAAGAAAGCTGAACTGAAAGACGGTAATGCTCGTGGGTCAACCTTATATACTAGTTCAACCATGGGAAATATCAGCCTGTGGTGCCCTAGTCTCAGACGGCTGCCCTGCACCTCGTCGCTCTGCACTAACTTCTGCGTGTATTTCTCCCTCTACTCCCATACGGCCTGACGCTGCTGCTGCTCTAGCAGCACAATAAAGCAAGCTATAACTAGACAGCACAATAAAGCAAGCTATAACTAGACAGCACAATAAAGCAAGCTATAATTAAGCAGCACAATAAAGCAAGCTATAACTAGACAGCGCAATAAAGCAAGCTATAACTAGGCAGCACAATAAAGCAAGCTATAACTAGACAGCACAATAAATCGAGCTATAACTAGACAGCTCAATAAATCGAGCTATAACTAGACAGCACAATGAAGCAAGCTATAACTAGACAGCACAATAAAGCAAGCTATAATTAAGCAGCACAACGTAGCAAGCTACACTAATTATTGTGCTGTGCGTGTTCATCCGCAAGGAAGCGCAAGCATGGTTGTTTCCTTGGTCCAGGCCACCCTCCGTTTGAGTGAACCGCAGCACAAGAGCTATAATATATATTTATTTTTTTGTGTTGGAATTCTTTCCTTTCACTCTTTGGTTTCGATTTAATTTTACAATTCTATGATTTATTAATACTGTTTCAAAGTTTTACTTTTCTTTACGTGGGACATGGTTTGCTTCATAATCTTTGTTTTGATTTTTTTTTTAGCTTTGTAAATCATGTTCTGGGGTTTTTCTAGGTTTCTCTGGGTTTTCTGGGGTTTTTCACTTTTTTCACGCTTATAAATAGTTTGTTGGGAAAACGGTGAATCTACATTTTAATATCTTTTTTTATTTATTTAATTTAACTCTTGTTATGGTATAAAAAGACACGTGTATTTCAGTGCTGCCAGACGCAGCTCAGCTCAGTCCTTGGGAAGACTCGTTTACGTCAGTCGCTGAAATGCTTAGTTTTGTGTCAGTCGCGCGGTGGACGCGGCTCAGTAAGCGTGTGCTGCGCTCGCTGGGTGAGTGCATGCCTGTGTGGTGTGCTTGAGCATTCGGTTGTACTTCAAACTGACACTTAAAAAATATGCTACTAACATGGATGTAAGCTGTAATTATTAGTCCCTGGTAATTATTAACCCAGTAGTTCACCTACCATTATTGATAATCTGAAGTTTCGTTACTAACCTAGAAATAGGATCCCATTATATGTAGGTATGCTAGCATGGAGTAAATTAGTAAACTAAGAATTATTGCTACTCGTGAATACATTCATTCACCCGCTAATAAGCTACGATAATTACACTTTTTTTATTTTGCAACTTCGATGTTTTTATAATTCCAGTCAGTACAATAAAGGAAAACTAAAGCTCACACTCCATGGGTGCTTAGGAACAACTATAAATTGGGAGTTTGACGAAGGCATATTCCGCCTTGCCTTACGTTCGTATTACGTTCGTAGCCTCCTGCCCCGATCGTGCTTTCGATTGTTCTTTGCGCCGACTACGCGGGCTTTTATCGACAATGCGCTTGCCGGTAGCTTTTTCTTCATTGATTGTTTGGAAGAAAATTTATCGCCATCTAGTCATTTGCCTTCAACCATTATCATGAGTGAATACTTAAAGATAATTTCACTACCTATACAATCTGCTTGTTTAAAAACGAAGAATCGGATGAGACTTTTCTCTATGGCAGTGTTGCATGTGAAGATATTTCTTTCGTTATCATTAAATAACAACATGATTGAAGGGGTTCTTATATCCCTATTAATTACTTTGCAACAAAATTGGCATGTTCTATTTAGTTATTTGTTTCTGTTCATGCAAAGTCTGGCTAGTTGAACTAATATTTACATCATTTATTCTCCCCGCTTGCGGAGAACTGTACTTTGCAAATTAAATGTTTAGACTTGAATAATTTAAATAGGATCCCATTATATGTAGGTATGCTAGCATGGAGTAAATTAGTAAACTAAGAATTATTGCTACTCGTGAATACATTCATTCACCCGCTAATAAGCTACGATAATTACACTTTTTTTATTTTGCAACTTCGATGTTTTTATAATTCCAGTCAGTACAATAAAGGAAAACTAAAGCTCACACTCCATGGGTGCTTAGGAACAACTATAAATTGGGAGTTTGACGAAGGCATATTCCGCCTTGCCTTACGTTCGTATTACGTTCGTAGCCTCCTGCCCCGATCGTGCTTTCGATTGTTCTTTGCGCCGACTACGCGGGCTTTTATCGACAATGCGCTTGCCGGTAGCTTTTTCTTCATTGATTGTTTGGAAGAAAATTTATCGCCATCTAGTCATTTGCCTTCAACCATTATCATGAGTGAATACTTAAAGATAATTTCACTACCTATACAATCTGCTTGTTTAAAAACGAAGAATTGGATAAGACTTTTCTCTACGGCAGTATTGCATGTGAAGATATCTTCGTTCTCATTAAATAACAGCACGATTGAAGGGGTTCTTATATCCCTATTAATTACTTTGCAACAAGATTGGCTTGTTATATTTAGTTATTTGTTTCTGTTCATGCAAAGTCTGGCTAGTTGAACTAATATTTACATCATTTATTCTCCCCGCTTGCGGAGAACTGTACTTTGCAAATTAAATGTTTAGACTTGAATAATTTACCTGATGGCGGGGAAATGCGCTTAGCTTGAAGAAATGATTGAGTCCGATGATATTCTTCTGGACGGTAAAATGTACGCTCCATCAAGAAATGATTGAGCCCAATGATATTAGTGTTGGTGAGGAAACCTATTCATATTGAAGAAATGATTAGGCCTCAATGGTACCTGTATTAACGGGGAAATGTATGCTTCATGAAGAAATGATTGAGCGCCAATGATATTAGTGTTGGTGAGGAAACCTATTCATATTGAAGAAATGATTAGGCATCAATGGTACCTGTGTTATAACGGGGAAATGTATGCTCCATGAAGAAATGATTGAGCGCCGACGATATTAGTGTTGGTGAGGAAACTTACATCGAAGAAATGATTGCGCTTCAATGATATCCATGTTGACGATGAAATTTTCTCTGTGATATCTTTTCTTGTCAGTCCCATGCGCTCTATATTGGTGCGAGTAGATATTGACCTGAATTATGCTCTGCTTTTGTATGTTGTTTTGCATGCATTCATTCGTTCAAGCACGACGAGCGTTATAAGATTACTTTTAAATTGTAAATTTGTTTCTTTTTTGTCTGTGAAGCGAATGAAGAATTTTCTTATTTTAAAAAATTTTATTTGTAGTTTAGGTAATTTGAAGTGGTGGAGTATCTTTTAAGCGTATTTACTAAGCTTTCATTGGTCCCTTGTTTTCATCAAGGCAGCTTATTATGCGTTCAGCTCCCGATAAAAATTCGCACCGCAAAAATTTCACGGAAATGCAATGAAAATATCTGAATAACTTGCACATAATTATTTCATTTTACACGTACATCATCATTATTTTCCATGTGTCTTATCATGTTTGATTTTTAGAAAGGCTTCACGCATGAGTTCTTATCACAGTAAACTTCTGTATAAACCATTGTAATTTCGGCCCGCGTTGAAAATATTCTTTCAGCTTCTTTCGACTGAAAAGCTCACTGGATAACATAACTGATATATCAATCTTCTTCTGTCAGAGCTCTCAACCATGGCTCTGGAGACGGAGAGCGCCCCTGCTTCTCCTACTCACGGCGCTCATCCATCGTCGGGCTACACAAACTCTACTTCCCGGACCAAAAGCGCCTCTGCCCACAACACTTTGCGCAAAAATTCAATTTCTTCTGGGAACTTGATAGAGAAAGGCTCTAAATTATCTCTCCTCGGCAGCCATCATGGTGGATCAAACCAAAACCTTTCGTCCCAGAACCACCGTCGACCTTCGTCAGCAGAGTCGTGTGCGAACTCAACACTAGGAGCTTCGCTACCTCCGTTGGTCGTGTCGGTGACGCACGACATGAGAAACGTCATGGCCATGAGTGAGATCAAGACCGAGATTGGCTTCGCCCGAGCATGGTTGAGATTATCGCTGGAGAAGAAATTATTATCGAAGCATTTGGCGACACTTCTTAGCGATGCTGAACTGCTCAGAACCCTGTACAAACGTTATGCTTTCTTGCGCTGTGATGAAGAAAAAGAACAATGTCTTTCGTACCTGCTCTCTCTGAATGCTGTTGATTATTATTGCTTCACCAACACCTACACGAGCACGAGTAAGTCCGACCGCAGAAAGTTTATCTTTTTCCCATCCAACGTTCAACAAAGTAGGTACTGTACTATTTGGGGCTAAGCGGTTAATCCATTATTAGTTATTAAATCTTATTTGTGGATTATTCAGAATTTTTTACGATGTTCTAAACGTGGTTGTCGTCTTGCTTATCCTAAAATCTTACTTGAAATATTTTGGAAAACCAACAACGATTATCGGAAAAATGAATAGCCTTGGTTTAACTCATTTTCTGGTGCCAATGCTTAATTAGCGTGAAATAGCAGAATACTTCACAGAACGTATTATGATCTCATAGATAATACTTCATAGAAGGTAGTATGAGCTCATAGATAATACATCATAGAAGGTAGTATGAGCTCATAGATAATACTTCACAGAAGGTAGTATGAGCTCATAGATAATACTTCATAGAAGGTAGACCGCCAACGCTTGGGTGTGCATCTCAGGCACCCTGGGGGACACCGCCAAGATTCCGCTCAGCAAAACCAACCCCAACCATATGGTCTTCCAGGTCCGAATTCATCATACATCCTATAACGATTTGTGAATAAAATAATTATGAAAACGCGGTCGAATTCTCTCACGCATTATTTAGTTTTTTATGTAAGCCTGTCTTCGGTCTCGAATTATTCTTCCAGCCTTATTGAAGAAATCTTAGCCTGGTCGCCAAGTTAAGACAGAAGCCGATAACTTCATGATTCACGTATTTTTTAGCTCGTAATTTTAATGTTATCCCATAGCACAAAAACCTGGGCCTGTTGTCTACCCTGCGACTGGGCCACGACAACTACGGGCTCAGTCCCAAGTGGCTTGTGGAGCACGTGCTGGTGCGCAACGAGATTACGGGACACACTTGGAAGTTTCCGTGCGGCCGATGGCTTGGCCGCGGCATCGATGACGGGTCACTGGAGCGCATGCTGGTGGGGGAGATGGTCCCAGGACACGTGTCTTCTGACGACCTCATCCAGAGTTGCCGCACGCCCCCGCGGTGCCGCTCCCCCAACCTCGTGGGGCCGAGGAGGACTGACGGCAAGACCGGCGTTGCTGAGATCCAGCAGCTCCTTGGTGAGGAGGGTTTTGTCTCACTGCTTCAAGTACCAAGAGTTTTTATGTTTAGAAGATTACAATTCTACAATGGATTAGTAAATAGGATATTTGTTTCAGTGCTTACTTTTATTAATTTATTCAAGAAAGAACAGAATAAATCCTATTTAATTTTCAAAGACATCAGAGAATGACACGTAGGCGATCGAAGATAGTCCAAGCTAGGATTTTTTTTGGGTATAGAATGCCGCATCTTTGAACAAAGTTAATGTTGGCTCATGGTAATCTGAGCACAAAGAGCGTAGATTGTTTTAAAATTTTACTCGCACTCTCTGATTTTGACAAATGCTCCAATGATGACTGAAGCGTTTTTAAAAATTTTTTCGCCTTCCTTAACAAACGAACGTTGTATGATTTATTTGATGAGAACTATTTGATGAGAACCATTTGATGAGAACTATTTGATGAAAACTGATGAGAGTCAACGTGTTTTGCAGGTGACGCAGTGAACAACCTCGTGAAGTTCTTCTACAAGCCAGAGAAGGAGCGCGGAGGCAGCCTGACGCTGCTGCTCTGCGGAGACTCAGGCCTCGTCGCCTGCCTTGAGCTCGTCTTCAACTTTGGCTTCAAGAGCACGCGGTTTTTTGGCAAAAACCTCTACCTCTGGGACTACTTTGGTGAGACCCTTTTGTCCTTGGACTATATGATGGGTTCTTTATCTCCGGTTCAATTTGGTTATGTAAGCCCACATACCAATGTAGCCTTCTATCCTTGGACTATTTGATGGGTTCCTTATTTCCGGTTCACTTTGGTTATGTAAGACCACATACGGTACCAATGTGGCCTTCTATCCTTGGACTATTTGATGGGTTCTTGATCTCCGGTTCAATTTGGTTATGTAAGCCCACATACCAATGTAGCCTTCTATCCTTGGACTGTATGATGGGTTCTTTATCTCCGGTTCACTTTATTTATTCAAGCCCATATATCAATGCGGGTTTGAATAGCCCACAACACCGAATAGAGTTTACGCGATTGTAGATTATAGATTATATATGTACAAAGAGTATTGCCCCGAACGAATTTGTTTTGGGTAATTGTGCTATGTTAATGAGATTCAACTGCTGGAACAAGTTTGCACCTGCTGTTGATTGAATATAAAGCTTAGCAACGGTTAAATATTTGAAAATATTAAGAAATTGTCTTCCATTTATCACAAAAATATTGCAGTATAATATCTTTGTAATAAATGTCGTCTAATAAAATTTTTCATCCTGTACATCATTTGAAGCTGCAGTAAATTAAACATATTTTCTCACTCCATGCCCTATTTTTCATAAACACAATGCAAAAGTTGCTTCAGTCAATTTGCAGGACAATTTTAAATAACATAGTTTATCATCCCATTAGAATCCTTTGCTTGCAAATTATATTTGAGGTTTGTAAACTCTTTTTTTTAATTATTCCTCTGTAACCTAAAGTTCAGTGTACTTGCGCAGAGTCGCAACATTATAACTTTTATATTAATACTTAAACGTATATTAATACTAACGTATTAATAATATACTCGTATTAATACTAACGTATTAATACTATACTCGTACTAATACTAACGTATTAATACTATACTCGAACTTATACTAACGTATTAATACTATACTCGTAATAATACTAACGTATTAATTCTATACTCGTATTATTACTAACGTATTAATAATATACTTGTATTAAAACTAACGTATTAATAATATACTCGTATTAATACTAACGTATTAATAATATACTCGTATTAATACTAAGCAATCCTCTTACAACTTATTGGTATCCAGAGCGCGTAGAGCAGGAGTTCCAGCTCACTCTGAAGGACGAGCAGGACAGGCTGCAGCTCACGGGGCTAGCGCGCACCGACTCCTCAGCAATTATCAAGAGAAAGTTCATTCTGCTCATCGATAAAATTAATCAAAAAACTACTCATCTGGGGAAAGATGACAAGTTCCAGCTTTTCATGTGCATCTCCGCCAGGTCCGATTGATATTCTCTGTTAAAAATATTAATTAAAATATAAATTAAAAAATATATATTAATAGTTCTGAAGTCCTCGAATTTATACAATGTATTAATGCCTTTGCTCATCACTTATTTCGTTATATTGAATCTTAAGCTAATTTAATTGCTTGAATTGCAATTTTACTTGGGTTTTTTGGCAAAGAAAATATCAAGTCAATGTCATATAATGGTTGAAGCTGAAATTTTTATAACACTGTCGGTTACGAGAACGTTGCTCTGTTCTGTTTTAAAGTTCATAGTTAACTGAAGTGGTTTAGCAAGAAGGTTTTTGATGGGATAAAGCCTGCTTATTTGCTCTGTTCATAAAAAGTAGACTTGAGTGACCTAATACAAACGTACGGAGAGTAGCAATACGTAAGTTATTTAAGAATGTGACTTATGGGGTCACATTCCAATTTTTACAGCTGCATTCAAGTTCAAATATTATAAAAGTCATAACCCTGGAACGATTGAAGAAAACCCGTTACGACTACGATGGTCTATCTAAAAAAATTTGTTTATTAGCAAATTTCTGACTTAATTTCATAACAAGCCTGGCCACAAAATTTTTCCACGTATCCAATGATTTGTCGCACAATAATTGTTCATTAAAAGTTATAATAAGAAATATTAATAATGAATTCATTTGATCAATAACAAATTTGAATTAGAAGACATTAGATGATTTTTTATGCACATGTAATTATCAATATATTGCTCATTCGTAACATGTAGAAAACTGGAGAAAATTGAAGCAACTATACACTCGTACAACTGATTTACAACATGTACAAAACTTTAGAAAATACCAGCTACTAAACACTCGTACAACTCAATTGCAACATGTACAAAACTTAAGATAATTCCCGCAACTAAACACTCGTTCGTACAACTCATTTACGACATATACAAAACTTAAGAAAATTTCAGCAACTAAACACTCGTACAACTAATTTAACACAATGTACAAAACTTACACCAGCTGCTGCTACCGCTGCACCACTGCACGGCCACGTCTCATCTGTACGACGAGTCTGCCTTCCTCCGCGACCCGCAGCTCCTCAAGGAACTCATCAACGTCCTCGCTGCCGTCGCCGAGTTCGACATCGTCCTGGAAGACTCCCTCACCAGGGGTGTTGATAACTGAACTACTGGCTGTTGTTGGGTCACTGACACTGCTGTTTGTGTTACTTGATCAGTTATAGCTAAGCTAAAAGGCGGGCTACTTGATCACTGAAGCGTGTTACTTGATCACTGAGGTGTGATACTTGATCACTGAGGCGTGCTACTTGATCACTGAGGCGTGCTAGTTGATCACAGATACGGGCTGCTTTATTATAGATATTTTTCCACCTTGTACTGAAGTTTTATGATGGCTAATGCGCTGTGTGTCTATCAGCTTTTTATTTTAAGTAGTAAATAACGAATAAACTCATAAATACTCAGTCTGTGAAAATGTTTGTAAAGTTGAGCCTTGTAAATCGACAGAATTTATCGTTTTAGTCCTTATCATAAAATGCTTCCTAAACGTTCACATCACTCAAGTGTACTATGCGGCTAAAAATAATATAATTAATAATTATAATTAAAAGTTCTGCTAATTCTTCAGAGAAGTTCTCTTATGCTCGTTCAGTAGAATGAAATTCCTTATTCCAGAAAAGTTCAATTCTGTCTCATTTGTGTTGTCTCCATGATAAAATCAAAAGTGTGGGAAAGGCGCGCTCTCATTCACGACTTAAAATCATTAGGACACATTCGATGAATGTACGCCATTCATCTTAGTCTTTTTCTTGATTACTTATTGAATTATTGATTATTTTTTCTGGGGCTCGAGTTATCCTAAAAATCGGAGCTTACTCAACTAAAATCTAGGCGATCACTGAGTCTGCTTTTCTCAAAGTCTGCTTTTTCCTTTTCAGCACAAACTTCGATTACTGCTTCTAAGCAGAAGAGCTTTCTGATAACCCAGCCTCTAGGAAGCATAAGCTGTCGTGAACGTAACTTTGTATCATCAATTGACTGGAGACCGCTTCTCTACCAACTATCCACTTTCCCATTTGTAGTTTAGACTATGATACGATAAAATTTATCTTCTCTTTCCTCGTATATTGTGACCAAAAGATTTGCCTGATTTAATTTTTCGCCATTCCCAATCAGCCATTTTGACTTGACATAATCACTCTATATAGTTTTATCCAAATTACTATACGCACGCTTCCAAAAGATACTCTTTTTTTTAATATCATCTTTCTTCTGAGCGGAAACCTACATATTTTTGCTGTCGTTTTTATGTCAAAAGTTTAGCTCTGATCATTATTAAAGTATTCGCAGTATAAATTTTTTCAATTGAACTATTTTATTGAAATTACATGTCACCATTGTAGGAGAAACTCTGAACGATCTGATAACATAATTGTTTGATATTCATTTCATTATAAATTAGGATGTTAGTGCAGCTAGAGGATTTAGTTTCTAGTCATATTTTCGCATAGTTTTAATAATAAGAGTGTGCTCATGTTTTACGTGATCATCTGAGTGATTTGTGTAAATAAATACCGTATAACGTTGTAGGTATTAGTTCTACGAACATGTGAAACCCAATCAAGTTGGCAACTCTCGGTCACCTCACACATGTTCATAGTTTATTGTTGTTCTCGACCGGTTAGCTCACAACACTCATTTTTCACGCTGACAAACACATTAATATCGAAAATTATACGATAATTTCAGTCATATATTAGCCCTATTGATCTTATTCTATCTAGGAAAAGCTCATGATTGGTCTACCAATTTACCAATTTTTACAGCTGCATGCATGGTAATTCAGTCATGGAAAGATTTTTTCATTTGTTTTCCTATGAATCAATGAGTTTGTTAACTAATATTGTGTATACCTTGCAGATTGTAAGAGATTGCAGCGCTTAATTATAACGGTTGCGTTGGAAAACTGCACCCTGTCATTTCCAACTGCCTAGAATGCCCTGCGAGCTACTGTTATCTAACCTTTCACTTGTAAATTTAATTGTGTGCCAAATAGCATGTGAACTCGCGATTCTCTCAGTCGTCAATCAAAAATAATGCTCCATATATAATTTTCAAAATATTGAAAAATATTTTGTGGTGTGATCTGACCTCCAATTCGATGGGGAAAACAATTACGTATTTTTTTCTCTTTTTTTTCATTGCACTATGTTTTGCGTAACAGTGACTATTCTTGTGAACAATAGGGAGTAACATTTTCTTTGTGTTGAAGTATCCGAGATTTTCATCGCGGTACAATAAGTGTTCATTGTTTATACGCTGTCTAGTCCTTGCGAAATGGTTCCAGTTATTATTTTCTGTATTGTTAGTAGAGCCCTGGCACGGGGATTAATGAATGCATGTATTCTATTCTTGTCTCAATTGATTGCCTTTTCACCTTCCTTGTTACCGTTCTTAGAACACTCATATTATCCTCTTCATTCCACCTCCCATTTAATTCGGGCTAAGTTTTCCGCGTTTTTCTTCCTAGTATCAGATGGTGGGTATGGAATTATTCTGAGCATTAATTTGTATAGCAATTTTATCAATACAAACAGGAATGAGCTGCTAAAAGTTGAGACTGTTTTAATGTGCGTTGGGTTAATTTAGGTAATTCAGGCACGCTTTTTATGTGTCGTTGAGATTACCAACTACATCGTTCCATCCATACACTTCATGTGTTATGAAAGCCTGTTTTTTATTTCGTTTTGACCATGCCGGCATTGAAGGGTGTATAATTTTATACATTAGTTTATTTTACTAACAGCTTCCTGGAGTACTGTAGCCATCTACATATTCTTCATAACTGATTACTGACTATAACTTTGTCATGCATGGTTTGGTGTTACTAGTGTCTGTGATATTGTGACAGGAACAAAGCGAACTGAGTGTAAGGTAAGCTTTCTTTAGGAGCATATTTTATTAAGAAATCTGTAGATAATCGTTATTTAAATAATCTTGCATTGTCCATTCCAGACATATTGTGTTCGATGTTTCGTCATGCAGAAACTAACGTAAACTTTTCAGGCTAAGTTTCACGAATTGTTAAGATTATTTTGATATTTAATAATAAACTTTCGTCGTCATATTGTTTATAAATTTCCTGAAGCTACGTCGATCAGAATGGTTCTAAATTGATCACTTTCATTTGTAAACATATGATCTCAATGCGGATCTCATTTTTCCAGCACAGTCACTGACTTTTAGATAGGCTATTTAGCTCTGTATCCGACACGAAGTTTCAGAAGGTATGAAGGTATGAATGCTTGTGCTTTCCTTCTCCGTCTTCCGTCTCTGCGCTTTCCGTCGGCTGTCCTGCGGATGGCTGACGTCAACGTATTGTTCAAGTANACGAGCTACAATTTACGTTAGTTTCGTTCATGTTACGAACGAGCTACAATTTACAATAGTTTCGTTCATGTTACGAACGAGCTACAATTTACAATAGTTTCGTCTATGTTGCGAACGCGCTACAATTTACAATAGTTTCGTTCATGTTGCGAACGCGCTACAATTTACAATAGTTTCGTTCTTGTTGCAAACGAGCTACAATTTACAATAGTTTCGTTCATGTTGCGAACGAGCTACAATTTACAATAGTTTCGTTCATGTTGCGAACGCGCTATAATTTACAATAGTTTCGTTCACGTTGCGCACGAGCTACATTTTACAATAGTTTCTCTCATGTTGCGCGCGATCTACAATTTACAATAGTTTCGTTCATGTTGCGAACGAGAAGTCAACGTGTCATGCGTATCACGTTAAGGCTTGTAACGTTATGTTGTTTTTGAAAGAACTAACTGCAATAATTTTTATTATCTTGCAACACTTTCGGTTTCTTTATGAATGCAACTAAATGTAAAAACTTGAAAAAAATTCTGAACAGGTTGGTTATTGAAATTTATTTATCATAAACGAACGTGTTTAGATAGCCATACGTCGTCATCCTTTTTTTTAACCGTTAGTGGGCGATGCTTTTTCGGTACATACCGGCACCTTACGGAAGATAAAATGCTAATCGAAAGCGCCGGACTCACGTTGGAAGCGTTTGAAGACCGGTTCTTTCATCACAACAAAGACTTCGTGAATACATGTATTATCAATAGGATGACCAACTTTGCACGTAATATGATTTATTATCTTTTCCCGAGATTCTTGTAATAAGTTTGGAATATCATTAAACACTTAAGTTTCTATTGCATGATTTATCAAGGAGTTTTGATATCTCAATGGGTATAAACGATATTTTAGGGGTAAAACTCTGGCATAAACGGTTTGGGCCGGCAGAGGACTTGGGATGGGCCTGTGGCCGCGGCCTCCGCGGCGCCGCTTTTGGAAGCGGCGGACCAAATATCCAGGGCTCGTCTACTTACGGCGGCGAAGAAAGAGAGTGGCTTGTGGCTTCACGCTATTCCTTCGGATGCTCTTGGAACACTTCTAGATCCCGACTCCTTCCGCGTCTCAATTGCTCTTCGAGTTGAAGTCGCATTAGAAACGACGGGCACATATGGTGAAACGACTGGTCCTTTAATATCACAGATTGGCCGTCGCATTACGGAATTGTCCGGCGAACATAGAGAGACTCTATGGTTGGAGCAAAGGTTGGGTTTGGCTGTGCAGAGAGGCAATGCAGCTAGCATCCTAACAGCAGTCAGAGAAAAGTTCGACGTGGGCCCGCTCCTCGCTCGCGTCACAGCTCAGTGACCCTCGGAGTCGGTGTAGGCGACCATCAGAGGCGTTAAGGTCGGGGCCCTGATCATTGACATGAAACCATTCCCTGTTTTTAATTAATACAATTAATTCCCTTTTTGTTGGAATGGTGAGTGTGGGAGGCCTTTAAAAAAAAAGGTATTTTAGGTTTAGCTCATTTTTTGACAATATTTTATGAAATTACTAATTTTCCTTCATCTCATGGACTTTATCATAGGGACATATCATACGAGACATTTACTTACTATTCCATGTTGAAGGTGCCCCTGGGACCTCAAAATATCAAAGTCGTTTAGAGTAAGAATTGATACGATACCAATAAAACATTTTATAAGGAAATTTTTTGAAATCTAACTAGGGTGATCGGAATGAGTCTCTGTCGGTTCAATGGAGAAGTTATCAATAAATATTGTATTCATGTTTTTTCTGCATCTATAACGGATTATTCATCTTTTGACTGGAGAAAGTTACATATAAATTTATATTTAACAAACGAATTTTTTTTAAGTTATTTTTTAAATTCTGTCAAAATATTAATGGCAATATCAATTATACGAATACCCTTTTGACAGGGTAACTCAAAAAGTAAATACATGTCAACGCCTCTAGCTGAAATCCGATTTCGCATTCTTCGTCGTGCATGTAGGCTGTAGGCGTAGGGTATAAGTTGCATTTGAAATGTCCTCTCTGACAGTGACCGCTGAATTACTTTTCTCATGCGATCGAGTTGATTGTTCGTTTATTTTCAGGTAACTGGATGATATTGACGACTCCTTTTGCGATTATTTAATAGAGTTTTTTCGGGTTTTCGATTTGAGGCTCCGAAAAGTGAATATCAGTAAATCCTTCCGTGTTCACGAAACAAAGAAACATGTTTTTATCCACAGCTCGTGATTCGAACGACTTTATATATGTTTAAATGATTGATACTTGAACTCAGGCCATCAATTCCTTGTTCCAAATTTGCGATGTCACTCTCACAGCCGTACGTTCTGTGATTTTTTTCTTTCTTCGGTCTTAGCATCGCCGATTTGTAGTGCTAGAGATTATCACTACAAAATTGTTGATGCATGATTGTAGGAGTAATTGATCTACATGAATTTGAGCCTCATATCGAACGAGACATATGCTTACTATTCTACAGGGTGACACAAAAAAAAACAGAGCTCATAAAAAGTTGAATAATTTCCACAATACTCAAGTAATCCTGTTATTTGTTTCAGATTCATTAAGAAGACGGATTGATCTAAGAGTCTACCACGTGTGAGCTTCGAAATAATTCCATAGAATTTTTGTTTCAAACTGAATAAAATTTCAGGAGTTATAAGACTTTTAGTGAGCTCTGTTTTTTTTGTGTCACCCTGTATTTAGGAGGTCACTTTTACGACCGTATATAATCATAGTTCTTCAGACTACGAATCGATACGATACCATTTTAAGGAGGGAATGGGAATCTAAAAAAAAATTTGAATACGAGTATTAGGAGACTAGAAAGTATTCTATTAAAAATGTCATTTATAAATACTAAAGTCACGAATGTTTTAGATTAATAACGGACTATTTTGCCTGCTTCGGTAAAAAGTTGCATATAAACTTACACTTTATTTAAAGTTGCATTGAAATATGTCAAATATACAAATGATTTTGTAATTGATCAATTTCATTCGAGTTTCTAAAGACCCTTTGAACAGAATTCGTTTTGATCGGGTAACTCAAAAAACATATAGTGGAACAGTGGAGGATCGAATTCTCCCAAATAGCTGTGAGATAGATGCACGCTTTTGATTTTTTAGTTCTTTGAGGAATTTGTTATTACAAAATAGCGGGTATCCCAACATTACGGTAGTAACTGTATGAGAATAATAATAGGAAATTAAAAAAAGCCGAACTCAACTACTCTGTTATGGACTGGAAGACTTGGCCATAAAGTGGATTGTCAATTACTTTTACCAATATTTGTATGGCAAGAAATTCATCATCAGAACTGACCACGCACCTCTACATTGGTTGAAGCCGAATAATGACAAGAACTCGCGTCTATCACGGTGGTTACTAAGCCTGGAAGGAAAATTTGTAAGTACGAGAGAATTATCGAGTTGAGTTTTAAAAATTATCAATATTAATCCTATTTAAGGAAAAGCTCACCTAACACTCGTGAAATTATGTCAGACTTATTGCCGTTTCAAAGAAGTGAATACTTTTAATCTGCTCCGTCCCGGTCAGAGCAGGAAATTATTAAATGTTGGCAGTTTGATGAGCTTCAATCAAATTAAATAGATTCTGGTCCCATCGACGCGTAATGAGCTTTTCTTTCTCTGCGACATTTGATTGCAGTCACCCTTGTGAAAGGAAAACGCGTTAATTTTTTTCATCGGATCGATGTGACGTGAGTTTTATTCGTGTTTTTATTTATGTGTTTTATGTCGTGTTTATAAATGCCATACAGTAATTTTTCCAGCTCTAATAATTCTTATCAATAATGTTATTGTGGGTTAAATTCTGTCTATAATTTGGCAGCCGTCAAACATTGCACATCAACCAGGTTGATGCCAAAATAACAGCAAGGACATGAGAAATCTCATAGCATTACTGCCGGTTCATCGTAATAGAGGACAAAAACTTGTGCATTTTCCTTTTAACGTCCCTTCTAACTTTGAATGGGTAATAAAGAGCCACTTCGTTGAATCGGTCTTGATCTGGTAAAGATCGAACGGAGCTAAAAGTGAACATATGGGTCGCCCAAAGTCGACCGCTCCCAAACCGGCTCACCCGATCGGGTAAGAAATTACCTTGTTTAAACCGGCTGATGGCCCGCTTTGAACCGGCTCGCGGCCTGGTAAAAAAGACAATTTTTCACCCACTTCCCAGCGGTCGTGGAGCACTGCAACTCAACGAGGTCGGTATGAAAATTCCTTCATTGCACTCGCTTACCCTAGCAAAATTGTGATGTCGATAACAGTATTCAATGATGCTCTCCGATTTCCATTAATGTTGACCGAGTCCATTATCATGCACATTGATACTTTCAGAGATTATACATAGTGTGATAATACATAGTAAAACGTGGCTACCTAATTTTGATTATTTATTACGGAAGGAAACTATGACTATGTAGCGATCTTGAAGGAGAGATTGATGGAGAAATATTACATGTTGCAGGAAATAAGTTTTAAGCGCTTAGTGCAGATCCAGATGTAGGGATTAAACAAGACAAAACGTAAATGTAAGTAATTTTATTCGCGTTTGCAGCTGAGAATGCTTACAAAAATCCTGCCTTTTTGTGAGAATTAGAGCAAATCGGAATTGCAATTTTTTTTTCTAATTTCTAGAAACCAACGCCAAGCAGGTCGATCAGAAAAAAGAAAAATTGTGAACTTGTTCAATATATGAATGAAAATTATGCAGTGGAATTGTAAAGTATTAGGTTAGCTGTGAGTATATACCTGACATTTTATCCACTGAATTCTCAAATTAAAATCTGCAATAACCATGCCACAAACAGGATAATGATTTTTGTTCATCATCAGAAGACAAATGGTGACAGAAGGACAAATCAAAACTTGGAGTAATCGAGGCTTGCTGAGGGTAACTCTTCTTTCTTGCCCAACGCACAACTTTGATGTGCTTCTTCAATCAAGTTGTTGGCGTGAGGATCTTCGATTCAAAGACTTGTAGATCTGGAAATCCCCGTTTAATATTAGTAATAGAGTTCTTTTAAATATTTTCAATGTTATTTGTTCGTGTGTTTGAAGCCTGACACTCTGAATATATTGAGACAATTCGACAATGTTATCTTAGTAACTGTCGTGTCAGAATATATTTTGTAAATGGTCTTGAAAGTTCATTTGCCGTGTTGTAACCATGGGGCCTTGACGGCTGGGAACTGGATTGAAGAATGAAAAACTTGACCTAATGCAAAGTCTACCCTAACGAAATTTCTTCTCAAGTCAAAATGTGGAAAAAATCTAGCTTCAAACTTTTAGATGGGTAATTGAATCGAATTTCTCTCCGATATTGGTTTACACATGTCGAAATTGAATGGCCACTAAAATTGAAGGCGTAGTGCTAGATTAATTTGAATTAACGGTCTGAGTCACCTAAACCTAATTAGAACAAAGAATTAATTAACATGGATAACCGAATGCATAGGACTTGCCGAGACCACCTTCTGTGTTTTAGAGTTCCTTACGTTTCATCACTTCATGTAGTTATTATAGAATTCGCCTCGCTGTAAAATAAATAATAATTTTATATTCAAAAAGTTAAGCTCTAAAGTATTTCTTACAGTTCGTCCGTTGAGAGGCTGAGTGTTGCGGAAATTATCCATCAGATTCGTCCCACGTAGGTTGCTGAGCTTTCGGAACTGTGATAGCTGATGATAGAATAAAACAAATTAGTTGAATATCACAAAGTGAAATAAACCTTGATCCTCCTGGAAACGTATCTAAAAAAGAACTTCAATCTTGCAGAAATACTGTCTGTTCTTACATACTGGTCATAAGATGCCAAACAAAATTTTAAAAGGTACCATCTTTGGATGACTGTTTGTACAGTAGCCTTATGGGAAAATTGAAAAAGAAAATTGCCAGAATGGTGCTCTAGAACATCGTCTATAACCTCAGTGCAAAAGCAAGCCATGTAAGTTGTTCAAAGCTTGGAAGTATATCTCATACAGTCTAACTTAGGCCTTATTGTGGCGTTCGTGAGGCATTTTTGAGTCAGAAGCAAGGGTGGGTAAAAATTTTGGTTAGTGGGCGAAATAACTAAATTTTAAGATTTTTTGCCACCGAATATTCATAGATAAAAAAAGCTATCCAAATAAAACACAAATAGACTATTAAAATTAAATGTATATTAAAATATGACATGACTTCAAGCCTCATTGTACGTAAATGTGTTCCTCGGATTCACTTACTTAGTGTTGTTACTGCTGTATAATGTAGTATCATTAGGTTAGTGACTGGAGTCGAGCATCATTATTAATTTGTTCTTTGTTTATTGTTACTGTAAGTTTTTAACGGATTGATTCTGGAAATTGCAATCAAAAGCAGCAACATCAAAATGAACCATAATTTCAACGAGACTTTTGACGAAAGTTTTAGTTCACTGCTTTCAGCCATCGTTGGACGCAGAATTCTGAGGTCCTTGCAGAAAACGTTGCTCGATAGAAATTCAAGGTGACAAAAGTTTTGTGACATGATACGGCAATCAATATAACTTTTCATCTTAAAAAGAAATTGGTTCAATTCGAAGTATATATGGAAGAGATGAAATTACCTTGAGTTGCATTACCTCGAATAATTTATTTCCATGTTGCGATTGGAATTTCTTTCTTTGGAACGCAATTTTTGACCTCGTTTTAAAAAGACGCCATGTAAAAATTTTTACCAGTTGCAACCTTTGTCTATGCATAGAAAGTGAGCCTCTGGTAAGCTTTCCTCTGGTCTTAAGACTAAGCGAGTAGGACTAGGCTGCATATATGTATAGCGTACAGAGATTCAAATGCCCCCTTCTTTCCCCCCAGTATACGAGGGGAGGGAGGGGGCATTTATAACGAACTTTTTAGATTCGGCTGTGTCCGTCCCGAAGGTATCAGGTGCCACATACGCGCGCCCCAAGATCGCCCCCCATGCTCGCTTGGCCTCTGACCGGATTCTATTCAGACGCTTATTTCGCTCGTACAACCAGAGCGTAAAGCTGTCATAGAGAGGCTAATTTACGAGCTGCGCGTGCTAAAGGCGTCTTTAAATCAGAAGCAAACACCACCAAAATTTCGATGGTGTAATATTGGACTGGACCTAATTTTGAATATTATAAATTATCCCATGCCAGCTCAATTCACATGATTATCCTAAATCGTTTCGCCTGATTTCAAAATCATTTTTGTTAATGAAAGAGAACTTCTCCAGTGTTTTTTATCCGGCAGGTTAATTAAACTCGTTTGTGGGATGCTTCGTACAACCGAATATTAATCACATAATAGATATTAATAATTGACTTGAAACAGCGCCTGCGGACATCCCGATATCTTAGGAAACAAATAAAATGGAAAGTTCTGAAAAATCATCGGTAAATAATGAGCTCGCATATGCGGCCTTGTGAATCATTTTCTATATCGCATGATTTAAATTTTCTGGTAAAATACGAAATGACATCGTTGGGTTACTGAAATGAAGTTTTAGCGATAGCAAAGAAATAATGACCAACCTGCTTTTAGAAAGATTGTAAATATCCAGAATAAATATTTAGCTATCCTGAATATACCATTCCCACACTCACCATCAAATTTAAAAAGTGAATCAGACCTCATGTTTTCGCTTAAATCTCACAAGAACCAATGCATCATTAGAAATATAACTCAGCACTCACTGCAGTGAATGACAGAGAGCGCATTTCTCGTCGACGAAAACGTGAAGTCACGGACGGACGGACGGAAGGACAGACAGACGGACAGGCAGACGGACATGACGAGCACAATAGTGCATTTTTTCCGTAAATTAGAAAATGCGCTAAAAATAGCCATATCTCGCCTGTGCTGTCGAGACGGGCACAGTGTGAGCGAGGACTGTCCAGACGACAGCTTGGTTGCAGGGCGGCGTAGTAAGGCTGCCCCGGTAGCGGTAGAACACTTGCTTGTTGAGCGGCAGTAGCGCGCTCAGGGCGCTGGCTCTTGGCACCACCGCACTCTTCCCTGATTGATGTTAAAGACATTTTCTATATTGTGACAGTGACATTTTTTGAAGATTGTTATATCACATTGTATGAGAAATCATTTTTATTAAAAAATTAAATTTTAAATTTTGTGTTGTCTACGTATTTATATATGAGGGACAATATATTCATAGGAAAAACATACCTATGCAATTTTTGTAGAGCAATTACAGCGAGGAATTAACTAATGGTGAAGAGATCTGGTAGACTTGCAAAAAATGACATTATTAGAATTTTATCGGCTTATAATTAAGTGATCAACTGCCTCAAAATGATACATGTATAACATTTGTATATGTGTGCACTGTGCATACGTGCTTTATCGTTCGGCTGTTCAGATTGCCCATATTTTTTTACTTTTTGATGCCTGATACATCAGTTAAGAATGAAATTCGTGATAGAAAATTAAAATTTAAGCTAAAAATGATTCAGGAAATCAATAACCATCTACCAGGCAGATTAGGAGTAGTGATTGTCAATTCCGTTGCACGGGCATAAATTTTTCAGCTAATACGAGTTGATTTGAGTACACTCTATATTAAAATGTATGTATTTTTTATCCACAAAATGACTTGCTAACCTTACAGTCTTGTATTCAGTAAGACTTTAAAAATTCGTGGATAGAAACATCTATAAGGAAGTCGTCAACATGCCTACCCCAATTGCGCCCTGATACTGCATGCGTACCAATCCGTCATAGAGATATTAGAAGCGCGAATTGGAGGACCGTAATGTGAACGAAAACTAAATGCAAAGAGCAATAAAACTAACACTGAGAGCAAAGATTTAAGCAAGCAGGTTGATGTAACAAAAAATGGTTGCATTGAATATTTTAATATTTTTGGTGTTGCGGCAAAGTAGGAGGGATGACGAAAGTGATGACGTTAGTATACAATGTAAGAATGTGGCTACTACATGTCTAGGGTCAATGCTGTAGGCAAGAAAATCATTTGATCAGAGAGAATAAAGATAGATTTGAAATGGAAATTCATTAGATTAAGAAGATGCTTCAAAATTGAAGTCGTTTTTCCGCAAATAATTCCACATACCTCCTGAAATTATTGCAGGAAATACGTTCAAGATCGGGCCGAGAGCCGCGTTGCCGTTTGGGGAAACCTGGAAGAGGATTGACAGAACAGCCAAACCTTGTTGATCGTTGAGGAATGCATTTGGGGTTAGTCCTTGTTTCTTGTGGACGAGGTGCATCTCTAAGGGGAACCTGTTGAAAATAATGAGCAGCCTGCTTCATATCTTGGTAGGCGAGCTGGCAATTACTGTAGTATAAAATTATTCATTCACTGTCACAAAATTATTCACCTGTGACATCACTGATCTCAGTGACGTCACGGGCATTAACCAATCACTGAAATGCGATCAAACCAGTCAACCAATCCGTCATGGGAATGACGGGTTTGTTTACGTTTCTCGATCTACGTGACGTAACAAAAAAGCTGAACTGAAAGACGGAACTTCTCGTGGGTCAACCTTATAAACTTTAACCATGGTGTTACCCTGTGTTCATACAACTTGACGGATACAGGAATTCAGATAAATTTATTATCCAGTTACTTATTTTTTTCGTTACTGAGGGTATACTGATTTCCTTAAGAAGCGTTTTTATTGCTCACTTCCAAATAGTTAAATGACCCTCAATACAACAAATTCAAGTCATGTCACCCAACAAAAAATGCATTTTTGTAGAATTGTTTAATCTAAGCAAATTGCAGTGAGATTCACATTTACAGAACCTTTTGCCGTCAATGGTGTGTTCAGAGCCCTGCGAGTCATTCCTGCCCCAGTGGAAATGCACGTTCGTCAATTCGTAGACTCCAGACAACCCGCCTCCCGACAGCAGTGGCAATCCCCGAGGCGAAGTGACCGTCAAGGATACTGGCACAATAAAATTAATTGAAGTAAATTTGAACACTAATGTTAGAACACCGAAGAAAATGAAGGCGCAAATTTTTTAACAGTAAATAAGTAAACCTCTAGAAAAGATGAGTAGAAGAGAAACGATTTCTGCAACTAAAATGGTAGAAACATAACTTTAGACTGAAGTTACCGTCAAGGATACTGGCACCATAAAATTAATTGAAGTAAATTTAAACACTAATATTAGAACACCGAAGAAAATGAAGGCGCAAATTTTTTAACAGTAAATAAGTAAACCTGAAGAAAAAATTAGTAAAAGAGAAACGATTTATACAACTAAAATGTTAGAAACATAACTTTAGGCTAAAGTTACCGTCAAGGCTACTAGCACCATAAAATTAATTGAAGTATATTTGAACACTAATATTAGAACACAAAAGAAAATTAAGGCACAAATTTTTTAACAGTAAACAAATAAACCTCAAGAAAATATGAGCAGAAGAGAAACGATTTCTACAACTAAAATGGTAAAAACATAACTTTGGACGGTAGTAACCTTCAAATGCAGGGTCTGCGAGTGATTGAAGTGAATGGAAATTTCTGCATTAGCAGAGGTCATTCCACAGACAGTAAAGGCTACAAATAACTCAAATTGTTGTCCAGAATATTTATTTTTAACTGAGAAAAAACTTTATCATTGTGGTGCTAGGATAGGAATGGAAGTACCTAAATCATCAGTTATTAATAGAAAATAAGTTAGTGATTATCGATCGTCTAGTATTTATCCTGATTTTTTAGGATGCCTAAGTTTTTTTCACACGAAAAATTATATTATTAAGAAAATGATTTGTTGTCAATATAATTCGCAATCAATTATTCCAGTTTGCTAGTAAAATATTGAGAGGAAAAAATTCTGGCCACATGATATTAATGAAAAGCAGTGAAATAAATAATGATAACAAATAAAGATAGAAGTAAACAATAAATATATGAAATTAATGGAGGATTAAGTCGTGAGCAACAAGCTTGAAAAATTCTAACGTACACTATCGCGGCGAAAAAAGTAATGTGTACTGATCGTTGAAAAATCTATTCTTCTGTTCAAATAAAATTAAATCATTTTTCAACAATTTTTGCACTCAGGCTACACAAAATTAATAGAGAATTTTAAGTTTAACGTTGCAAGTTACTTAATTAATTATTCAAAATGCAAATTAACAACTCAAAAACTTAAGAAGGTAACAGCTGAGAGTCGAAAGATTTATTGCTTTTATCCAATATTTCAATGTATAACGGACACAATAATAGCAATTCTGCATCTATTTGGTCGAGAAATAGTTGAACACGTCTGCGTCTTATCCGCGAAGAAAAAAGTCTTTTCCATATTGTCCTTACGTTCGTTGTTTTTTACTCACAGGTTTGCTGGTTGTTAGTGGCAGTCAAGTTTACTGGAGGGAACTCATAGTTCGTGTACACGAGATCCCCAAAAAATTTTACTTCAGTTTTTGAGTCGACGATATTGATGGGCGACTGGCGGTGTCTGGAGCAGTGGAGCGGGAACTGCTGCGGCCACGCATCTTTTTCTGCGTCGAAAAAAATAATGTGTGTGAAAAAAATAATTATGTTAAAAAATTACCATGCCGAAACATGCAAAAGGTCCTAGTAAAGTTATATATTAATATGTATTGCTTTAACTCCGAATGAAGTGAAGTTTTGAATATCAATTAATTAGTGAGTTATGTAAGGAAAACCCCGAGATTAGCTTAAAATCTATTAATAAATTCAAGCGTCCATTATAGCCATTAGATGAGTGGGGGAATCTACCAATTAAGTCTTTTCGAAGCCATACATGAATGTCGGAGACGATACCATGTTTTATAAACCGATCTCATTACTAAATGTTCTCGAATTAAATAATAATTTGTGGAGTTTAATGTTATCAATAGCATAGTTAATGCAGTACACAATGAAAATGTACTGATATTATAATTACGTCTTGTTGAACCCAAACGCACGATAATTGAATCGTGTAAACGAATTCGATTTCTTAACTGTGTATATAATTGTGAAACTCGATATTGCTATGAAGAGTAGCATCCAAATAAGGATATATTCTTCAAAACGGCGTTAATAAGACAATGAAGCTTTCAACCTAATATTAAAATTCATATTCAATTGGATTGTAAGACTCTCTAAGGTTATCGTGTTATCTCGTTCTTACCGATGTAGCTGTAGGATCTTGATTCGTCGCCACCTGCAAAACGGACAATGACTCAATTATTTATTTTTATTGTAATTCTCAATCTGAGAAAATATCCATCAGATATTGTATTTAAATTCTATTACCATGTGTTTATAAGATGGCTCCCGTGATACTAAGAATTCAAGTTTAGATTTTCTTAAAGTCCTAATTTAAGTTTTAATTCCCTTTTAGTTAGAATTTTCTTCAAGTTTAAATTTTCTTCACGTTTTAATTCTTGAGAAGATTTTCATACGGCCGATTGAAAGGAGTCCCATACGGCCAATTTCAAAAATATAACTTTTTACTTTTTTAATCGGAATTTGATCGTTGTTTAAACCTGATATTGACAGGCACGCAATTTCTGCTCATTTATATTTCATGCATTGATGTGGGCAAAACATAATAGCATTCGTATATGTGACGATGATAATACCTACTGAATTGAAGTGCATCTAAACTGAATTCGAATTCAAATTGAAAACATAAATAGTATTAACAAGCAACTCTTTTTCATACATGCATGACATGCAAATTATGTTTGCAACAGGAATCCTGAGTAATTTGGCATCATCAGCGTGAACTAATTTTAAATAATGAGGTACACCCAAAATGTTATGGGTAATATAATCATCGTCCACGCTCGACAATCAATATCCATCGTAATAACAAGTGTTCTAAAATAACAGAATGTATAATAGAAGTGTAGCTAATAATCATTCGTATTAATACTTGTTCCATAATTTTACTGACCAGCATGCATCGCTAGTGACAGGAAGACCGTGACCGCCCCAACGAAATGCATCTTGACCACGAGAACTCGACTTGACATCAAGCCTCCAAACTATAAAAATTTAAATTTACAGTGTCAGTTTGTTGAAAAAATGTTTACCACAACAATCATCAATGAGCTCATACTATGTTCTTATTTCTTCTCTAATATTTTATAACAACAAGACAATTTGTTTCATCAGAAGATGCGCAGCTAGCGATGATGTAGTCTTACCTCCTGGCCTGCGGAGTGCACTATATACTTGCTTGCTACTGTAGTCCTTCCACTGAGGCGTGTTATCTACATAGGAAACTATTCAGTTATTTGTTCATACTAGTAAGGACCAGTTCAATAATTCTATGAAGAATCATATTGGTTTCGCTAGCTCTAATAATGGATAACAATAATAATGAATGAAAGCACGTGACAGGCGCAACCCTGAAACGATTGCGAACATTTACTACATCAGGTTGTTGTTTGTTCTTGACTCAACGTTAAAATCGTTACAGAAAAGTGATTAACAATGAGAATTAAAAAAATGAGGATGCGTTTATTTAGCTTCTGCTCTCAATATATTGTTATTATACATAATTTACATACTGGTGCTTTTTTAAATTGAGCAAGGGATTTTATCTTCTTTTTCACAGACTCGTTTTCTACAATATTGTCATATTAGAAACCTCTCATCCACTTTGTCATGCATATTCAAAGAAACATTCATTATCCACCATATTTGAAATTGGTGTTCTCATTACGTGTGAATAACATTACATATGCTTGAGGACGAATTTGTCAGCGTGAACGATGCGAGTTGCTGCGAAGTAAACTTTAATTAGAATGAAATTAAAACCAAGTTTCGCCTACGCATTCAAAAGGTCCGAGTTGAGCTTTTAAATTCAAATTCGTAAGCTTAAAACAGCATGTAATTAATGATTCTAACCTGATATAACAAAGAAAATTCGTATTTATATTACAGAAAAGACATTCCTGTGGAAAGTTCCCCATTCCATCACGCATGGGGTTCATCATGAAGATTAATGCCACTTGATTTTTAAAAATCTGAGGCCTCTACAAATTTGATTGAGAGTATCGAACATGTAACGATCTTCAACTTCTTGCGTATTGAAATCCGTGATAATAATAATATCTGAATCCTCAACTATCGCTGGAAAACAATTCTGGCGATTCTTGTTATAGGTAATGTAATGTTTTCCGCACAATGCATTTTTTCGAAAGAATTTCTACCTGACAATATTAATTTTTCTCAGAGGCACTAATATAACTTAATATATTTGTATGCCGATATGACTTCCTACTGCAAACAGATAAATTTTAATGCTTTTGATATGATTCTGGATCATCTCATTGATAACGCATCATATTTCAGTCCTCGTCCATTGAGGTTGTAAGTTGATTTTGTGTTTTAAATTATCTCACGTAAATTTGACTTAACCCAGTACCGCCTGACATGAGTGACCGGAGCAATATTGTCACAAGCCTACTTCTTAAAAAGTATTAATTCGTTCAAGTGAGCGCAAAATGACTTGCACTGATGGTTGCCGCCACGTACGAAAACTTTAAAATGTTCTCTGTTTCGTATAAACGGCCTCAGGTTGCTACATTCAATAGTTTACGTATAATTTAAGTTGGAAGTTATGTTCCCGGAGAGTGACAAACGGCGGTAGAGGGTTAATAAGGACTGAGTTCATTTTAATAACATATGTTAGGAAATTAAAATATGCGCTCTAAATTTTAGAATATTTATTGACAGCTTTAATATTCAGGAACCATATTCATTGAGGAAAATTGCTCACGTTCATGCAAAAGCGAGCAAAACCATCACACACTGGACTAACTAAATTCTAACTCACCCAATTTCTTAGAATTTTATGACAAACAAATAAATAATGTTGGAGGAGTAGGTCTTTATTACTGTATCACTTGATTCGGGTACTGCAAGTACATGAGATGGTTCAGTTCATTTAGCACGCCGAGATTCTACACGGATATTTGCTTTAAGGTCGCATATTCCTCTCCAGCCTAAATATCTAAAATAATAAATGACTTAATCTCGGAAGTATGCAAAACCTAAAGTGCGGAAAGCTCTGAGTCAAAAATGGAAAGATTGTTCCGACAAAAAAAAAAACAATTACTGATTTGTTTAAATTCGTGCCATTAAAACCCTAACAATAAGGCTTTTAATACTAAAATCATACAAGTATTTTCTCTCACTGTCGTTTTATAATAAAAAAATATTATTAAATATTGAGACGGAAATTTCCAAGTTCATTATGACAATTTTTACAGCTTTGAACTGGGCACTTTGTCTCATAAACTTTTAGCTTAGACTTAATCCTTGCAAACAATCGAATCGCATTCAATGAAGAGGCACTCAAATAATTTTGAAGAACAGGAAACAAGGTTAAATCGCCCAAATTATCTTATGAACATAAAATTTAACTTAAAAATATATATTATTCATAAATAGAATTGCTGAGTTATTTTTTATTCGACAATTGGCAACATGTTTCTCATTGGGATCACTCGTAAAAACGGTTTCATTTTTAAGGTAGAAATGGTCAAAGACTACCAAAAGACATGATAAACTCATCATCTGGACCTATGCAACGTTCCAGTGCTGCTTTCCTATCTAATATTTATAATATTTATAAAAATCAAAATTTAGTGTTCGTCTTAGCAGACTGGAAATATACGGTGGTTGTCATCTGGGCCGTATCCACGATAACTTTCGTGGACATCAGTAATATAAACTAGACATCAATTATTCCAAAATGTAGGTACTCGTATTACTACTGGGAGCAAAACTGGGAGGATTGGACTAAAAAATGAAATCTGTTTGCAAAATTTGTTTGCAAAGCTTTAACTTGAAAGAGGCAAAATAGTTTATATTAATATATATACATATATATAATGACGGTCAAATTGTAGTTTTATGTATAATGAAAATTTTCAGATATAAAAAGTTGTCCTTTAAATAACATATTTTATTTGATTTATAATAACGGTTTTGTGAGGCCAGGATTTTTAAAATTTTAGGGAAAAGGTAACGTCGGGCTGACCTGCAAATTCAGTATAATGCAAGCATCGAGAAAGTAGAAATTAGCGACTATGATTCCGCTGATGATCGCTATTTTCTTTTTACTTGACAATTTGATGAAGTTCGAAGGAATTGAGAATCGTCAAAATCCTTCCTGCAGAAGAAAATTTTCGACATAAATTTTGGAACCAATCCATGTATTTTTATTGCTAGAGATTGCTGCATAAACAAAATAATTTTGGTTAATGCCACAAAAATTCAAATTATTTCTTATTTAAAGTCTACAAAACACAAAAATTGTAACTTATACCAACTCAGTTAATCATTATCATCTAACTGTATAACTGGAGCAATCAAAAAAAGTACTTAATTTCTTTAATAATAAAATGAAAGTCAAACAATAATAAAATAAACTAAAAGTTTTCAAATACGAAATTTTGAAGTAATATGTATACTATCAAATTATGACAAGATTTTTCATGTAATAATGTGCTAAATGCAATGAGGGACAGAGTGTTAAAGGATACACTCTATTAAGGACATTAAGGATCTTACACTCTATTAAGGATAGAGTGTTAAAGGATACACTCTATTAAGGAACAGAGCAAGCGAGTTGTTTACTTCAAGAAGGAGCGGTACACCTGAAAATTAGGACACAAGATCCGGTCAAGCTATCTGGGCTTGTGGATGAACTCATTTCCACTTAGATAATAACATTTTGTCATGACTTTCAAATTAACTGTTGGCATTTTTACTTATAGGCTTTTTACTTACTTGTAAGGCGATTGCCTCGAATTTGTCATGACTTTCAAATTAACTATTAACATATTTACTTTCAAACTTTATTAAATATTTGTTAAGGCGATTGACTCGAATTCCACAATAAGCAGCATAGAAATGCCAAATGATTAATATTATGCCTAAAATTATAGTCCTGTTAATTAGCAATTAGACAATTCTTTATAAACTTCACGGTACGCAATATATGAAATAATCTTTCTCATTTTCTACAGCAATATCCTTTGCTTTATAATTTATAAAACTACATTCTTGCCTTTCTAAAACAGCACAGAAACATTCAGTCAGGTCAAAGTACATGGTGACTAGGATTTTATATTGAATTAATAAAATATTTATTAATAAAGATTGAATTTCAGACGTTCGCAAGATGATAGTAGTTTAAGAAAGAGTTTGAGCAATGTCCGAAATTAAAAGTTGCTAAATTCTGTGATTACTGATGATTACTGAACTGAAAAAAAAAATATATTTCAGAGATTGTTTTCACAGGCGCTTGAAAAATCATGCTGGAGATATTTTTGACAGAATGAAAGAAACAGTAAGCGAATTGGGACTTGGGAAAGGGCTTGCCATTTGCACTGCTAGAGCCCACCACAAGAAGTGTCATTGGACCTAATGAGGGTTGAATATTATAGCTCTCACTCCAATGGCAAAAGATTTGGATTGGAGGCTGGGAGACGTTAGTTCACATATTTACCGTGTACTCAGAGATTACAGAGAGCACACTACCCGCAAGGCTAAACTGATAAATTAAGGAGAGACGTTCTACACTGTTAGAAAAATTACCGTTAACTGTATTACCGGCGTTTCATTGGCCGGTCGGCACGTGAAAAGAAACACCGTGTCGCCGTTTTTATTCTAATTTAACACTAGAAGTCCCTAAAACATCTGATAAAAACGGCGAAACAGTTTATTTTTACGGGGGACCGGCCACTAGAACGCCAGTGGGACCGTTTTTTCGCCGATTTTTCTAACAGTGTAAGAGCTTGACAATCTTTAATATCCTAAGAGACAAAGATAGTCTGATACGAAATTAACGTTCATCCTAATACAAATACTAAATTAAAGTTATTAAGTATGAATAAGTGCATTTGTACATTTCATTTTCACTTCATTCATTGACAATCATCAGGCCTCAATTATTCTTTTCATCCTCGTATCCTCCTCCAACAATCTCACAACCATATCTACATAAATATAGCTACTATCAACTACAGTATATATCAGTTCAATCGTATCTCCATAAAATAAATATAGCTAAATATCAACTATATAACATCTCAATCTTTGTTCCATAAATATGGCTAGACATCAACTATATATCAATTCAATAGTAGCTCCATATCAACTCACGATCCTGCCGTTGAGAGGTTGGTTAGGCCTGAAGTTGTTAACAAGAGGATCACCCTCGGTGTCGCTCAGACTCCTCAGTCGCGCCATCTGTCCAACGTATAATATTCAATACATATGCAACGAATTCATTTCCTGTCGATTAACTGGCATTTCTGTTCGGTGAATGAATCATAATTAATAATTATATGCGATATTTCCATGAGAAAATAAATGTACAAATATGATGGGTTATGGTGACTGTAATGACAACTTTCTATCTAGTCGATGTCAAGAGTCGTAGCTCATCAAAGCATTCACAAATAATCGTAGCTAATACAATCTATAAAAAATTACCGGAATATAAAGCTTAAAACAATGTGGGCCATAATTATAAATTGAAATCTTCACATCTTTAATCAAGGGCAGCTTTAATTAAATCTGTTCAAATGATTAGATTTAGGTCGACTAGCCCCTATGTATCCACATAACCAGGCTTTAAACAAGCACATATGCAAACATTTTCCCATTTATCATTGATGTATAATATATATTTCAATAATAACTATAATATTACATACTATACAATACTAAGCTTTTTGCACACAAAAATTATGTCTCACTTGGCTTGATGTTTCTTAATTTTATAATTTAAAATGTCATAATAATAACCGGCGTGGTCCCGTTCTATTATTATTATTGTAATGCCATATGATATGACATGATATATGTTAACTTGGCATATTACGTCACCTGTTCATCATTTATAATTTAAAATGTCATAATAATAACAGGCGTGGTCCCGTCCTACTATTATTTTTCTAATGCCCTGTGATATGACATTATAAGGGGACGTATGTTATTGTAAATATTAGATTAGTAATTTCTCCTTTCGGTTTTTAGTCACCACTGACGTGACCTCGCGTAGGAATCCACTATATCTTGTCATTCGTTTGTGCGATTCCACCACAGAGGTACGTGGTTCTTTTAGTCGTGTTTATTTTCAGTGATGACATTGCAATGGTGTTTAATTGAAGTTTTTATTGATCTTATAGTGCATATTTGTAGTTATATTCATTCATGTATCATATGTAATCCGTGCTACATTTCTGCGTTTTTTAGTTTATTTCATTAGTTCTAATTTTGCGCTTTCGTTTATGTATGTGTAGAAAGGCTACGCCGATATAAGAACTTGTTTCGATCATTATTGAAATAGTTAGTCGGCCTAATGAAAGCGCAGGTTTTTTTTTTTGTTATTTATTGTTTTTGTATTCATTGATAAGTGGTTTAAATTATTATTTTTTCTTCATTGATTCAGTTTTTATTCATCCATCTAAATGGCGATAGATATAACAACATTATCATAAGCAAATGTCTAAGGCTACTGACGGCTTTATTTTTATATAATTTATTTATGGAATGGGCCTTGACAACATGATAAATGTTAAATTAGCACATTTACATCACCTGTTTATCACTTATAATTTAAAATGTCATAAAAATAACCGGCGTGGTCCCGTCTACTATTATTGTCCTAGTGCCATATGATATGATATGATATATGTTAAATTAGCATATTCACATCACCTGTTTATCAGACACGGGCACATGATCGTCGAAGATGGTCCACGTGACAACTTCGTTGCACTTTGGAGTTGTGAGAGATCCTCGGTAGCGGTAGAAGCGGGACAGATCCCGAGGCAATACCGACGTCAGAGGGTAGAGATCCTTTGTAACGTTTTGTTCTCCTGCGCAAA